TAGGGCCCTAGACCCCTTAAGGACCCCACAATAACCCCAAGTATCCTTATGGTATAAACTTAGACCCCCGAAATGCCCTATAAGTATAGACCATAATGATACTTGGACCCTTTGGGTAAGGTCCCTGGAGTCATGGGGTAAACTGCGCCTACACCCTTGCGGGCTTCAGGCTTTGAGACCTTGGACCCCCAAAGGCTGAGCCTGTTAGGGTCTTAGGATTTACGGCGTTGTCTTGGGTACTACCTGTGGATCCAATAACCCTACCGTTTTAAGGGTTAGACCCTCAAACTAAGGGGTCGTAACCTACTATTTTGCAGGGTTTGGGGCTACAGGTAGGGCTTACTAGGGGTGTCTTGGCGACCAGGGTTTCTGGCGACCCTCAGAGCTTTCGGGTTCTCGGCTTTTACAGCAGCATTGCTCGGGTTTTGGGGAGCCTTGAAACTCTCGGGCTGTAGAGCTGAAGAGCTTTGGGGCTGCGGGTCTGCGATTTCAGGCAGGGTCTAGGGTTTACGGTCTTGGATTCAGGTTTTATTGTTTCGCTGCTAGGGGAGGACAAGTCGTGACAGAACCCACTGACCCCTAAACGCTCTGCAACCGGACCCTGCATAACACCAGAACACGTCTTCAAAAAAGCTCACAGCCACATACCCCTTGCCCCTAATAATCTCTCTGAGATAAACCCGATAAACCCTATAAGCAAGCCCTATAAGCCCTCAGGCCCCAACATCTTAAACCTGAAGCCTACCATAGGGGCCTCAGTATTTAGAAGAGGGTTTTGGGGTATATGATACTATATAGCTATAATAAGGTACCCCCCAAATCGTATTGGTAATTTTTAAGGCCCTTACACTGAACCCCCATAATACCCCTTGTACTAATCCTTATAGATCCCTTGAACAGGAACCCTAAAAGGAACCCCACAGATCCCCAAGGCCCGTATATTGAACCGAAATTCTGCAAAGGGAGGAGGCCCCTACGGTAAATCCTAAATTTAAACCCTAAAATCCTAAAACCCTAAAATCCTAAAACACTAAAACTTTAAAGTCCTAAATTAATCCTAAAACCCTAAAATCCTAAACCGCGGCCCATCTCTCGGCATACAGGCCGCAAGACCCAGCTGCCTTGAACCCTTGAATCCCAAACGGTTTAGGGTTCAGGGTTCATTAGTAACCATAGGAGTTATATAGCAACTATAGTATATAGTTCTAGTAATTATAGTCGGTACTTGGTAGATATTTAGGCCACCAATTGTATATACTATACTATGTCTTGGACCCTTTGGGAAGATAGCAGCTCGAAGACATCACTGTTTCGTTTCCTTCTACTTTCAAAAGCCTTCAAACCGAACCCTAACTGCAGGTTACTCTAATGCCCGCCTTGAGCACGAAGCCCTAAACCCTAAACCCTACACTCTAACGCCCACCTTGAGGACAAAGCCAGACTTCAAATTCTGCCAGTTCTGCGGAGCATCTCTGACATTTAGCAACGCGGCGGCATCTTCGTGGAGTCGAGGCGTTCACCCTAAAGCCCCATAGTACTGTAGTTCCTTTCTCGGGTTCATATATAGAGCCGTACAAGGTAATCCCAAAAAGGACTTACCTCTGGGTACCGACATACTATCGTTATGACGTGTCTACAGACATACAACCCACAGGGTTCAAAGCACCTTTATAGCAGAATGTAGGGTTCCTATATTAGGAACTAATGTTATGATTTGGGTTAAGTATCCCCCAAAAAGTACCTAGGACGCTTTTGGCTCGTGTTATGATGCGTGCAACCTATATGCAAGAGGACTGCTGATAGTCTTTAGAGTCTTTGTAGAGTTGTACACCAGCCATGAGTACTGTACTTCTACTGCTATAGTATTACTATAACCCTCGTGCTTCTATTTTGTGGTTTTGTGGTTGCTGCATTGCGTGGTCTGATGCCGTATAGATGGGTCCTAGCCGCAGAGAACTGGTGGCTTGAATGGCTTCTGCTCGTCTAGTAGTGCTATGATCGTTGCCCCATGCCTGATATGTGCATGCTGCGGCGGCTTTCATTGCTTCTTCGATTGCCGATGGAGCAGTTGCTTCCGACATGGTTGTTGTTATTCCCGGACTTTTGTGTTTAGGAGTTCGTGGTTTGGGTTTTCTCGTCTCGTCTGTGCACCGTCGGAACCTCGGGATCTTCCACGTAGTGTGGTCGTAACCGTCTGTGTTGCGACTCCTCCCCACGTACGGTGTAATCACATGTGGTCTTTGCAGTTTTCCCGTTTAAGGAGCTTGTAGTATAAGCGGCGTGTTTTTTTTTGGCACAACTTAAACCCAGAATCGTAAATCCCAATTGCAGTCAACTACATTTCTATCTCCGCACGACTGGGGCTGATCGAACTTCCTGTTCTGCATAGGGGTGTCCTTGTAAAGGTCCTGCTGTTTGGGCATTTTTGGGGTATCTGAGGGTCCCTCAACCCGAAGTTGACTCCTGTGGTTTAGGGTTTAGGGTTTAGGGTTTAGGGTTTAGGGTTTAGGGAACCGAGTTGCCACCGGCTGAACCCTAATGACGCACTGCTTCACGTACCCACCTTCACTAGTGAGAACTGCACGTCTATTTAGTCCTGTTCTACAGCGGCCCCACAAGGGAAGTACAAGGCGAACCACAAGCCGAGATCTGGATTCTGCAGTTGCATGCGCTTTGTCCCTGAAAGGAGCGTTTGATATATAGAGGTTACTATAAGTACCTACTATACTGGTACTTGGATTCTCTGGCTCATGCTGCGTTCAGGCAATGCTGGCAAGACCCGGTGACAGTCCAGGCCTCCGCTTTAAGGTTCAGGGTTTTGGGGTTTATGCAGGGGGTTTGGGAGGATAAGGGTTTGAGGAGTGGGTGCTTAGGGTTGGGGTTTAGAGCCAAGGATTCAGTATTTGGGGCTGGGGTCTAGGAACTCAGGGAAGCCTGACCGACAGGGAAAAATCAGAAGCCAGTTTTCTACGCATACGTCAAGAGCCTGGGGTTGCATGTGTGCTCAGGCACACCAAGACTGTCACAGCTGAAATGCCCAGCACGGAAGGCTGCAAGTTTCCTACTTGGACCACCTCCGTGGGTCCTTGCCGAGTTTGAAGTTTGAGGAGTTGGCTTCGGGATGGGCTGGGTGGACATTCCGCGGCTTGGTCGTTTTGCGAAGAAGAAGTCTACAAGGTCCGACTAGAGTCGACTGTAAGGAAAAAGAGATTAGCGGTTCAGAGCATGCGTTTGGGGTTTTCGCGGGCTAGGCTGGGAGACAGGCGTTCAAAGGTTCCGCAAAATTACTACCAGCAGCAACGCCGCCACCACCACCAGCACCAGCACCACCACCACCACTACCGCCACCACCACCAGCACCACTACACCTACACCCACACCCACACCTGCACCTTTACCTCCACCTTCACCACCACTACCCCTACACCTACACCTACTAGGACGACGACGACGACGACGACTACTACTACTACTACTACTACTACCACTACTACCACTACTACTACCACTACTACTACTACTACTACTACTACTACTACTACTACTACTACTACTTCTTCTTCTGCTGCTGCTGCTGCAGCTGCTGCTGCAGTGCCTCGTGCTTATACTTTAGCAGTACGGCGTTCATGGAACCCCAAGCACCGTTCGAGGTGGCCCGCAAAGGCTTTGCAGGACGCAGGCACGGGCCTGGCGCCCCAAGACAACCCCATTATGGAATTCCCAGGGTTCCTTAAAGGGATCGATAAGGCCGATAAGGGTCTTATAGGGTTTAGGGTTTAGGGGACACCAAATCCATGTGGAGATTGTTTGACCCGATGTTTCACATGTAGAACCTTTAGGTTTGCTTTCTCTTGCTTCCGGATAATGCCTTTTCTCAGGGCATGTCAAGTCATGAATGTGGCAGAGTCTCGCGCCTGGGGATTTTTGGTTCTTGCATGTTGTAGGAGCTGAGCGAAGGGGGGGTTCGGGGTTGGTTTCAAGTCTCTCCCAGTGTTGGACTGGGGCACGAGGGTGCGGCTTCATATCCGCGGTACCTTAACGCGCGGATTGTGTGTGCCCCGTTTTTTGCTGATGTAGTTCTCGTAACAAACTGTCGTGGTAGGCCTCAATGTGAAGGGCTCCAGGAGCATCGTAAATACGGGCAGTTTGCATTAACTTGTTTTGCATACTAAACCAGCACAACCAGCACAGCCCTGAAGTTTACGCCCCGCCCTGCCCCGACTCGCAGACATGTCAACCCTGGCACTTGCCGGAAGACAATGTTCCCTGCATCACTCCGCCTCCTTTGTGTTCGTGATTGATTTAGATGTGTGTACCGTGAAGACCACAAGTGCTGCAGTGAGGCTTTGGAATAGTTCAAGTGTTTTGTCGGGCGTATGTGCCCCACACTCTCTGACGTCTAAACACTGCAAGCGCCATGGGGTCCTCCCCATAGGGTTTCTATATTAGGAATTACTAATTATGATTTGGGGAAGTATCCCCCATAACAGTACCTGGGACCCTTTGGTGCCTCTTGATGACCAAGCTTCCCGGGACGCAGCTCAAATCCGATGCAAGACCACGTGCCGTTCCCCAAGGGTCCTGCGTTCTGTTATGGGGGTTACTTCCCCAAATCATAATAAATAATAGTAATCCCTAATATAGAAACCCTACATCCCTACATTCTACTATAAAGGTACTTTGGACCCTTTGGGGTTCTGACCGCCCTTAAGCTGCCGACTAAGGTGGAGTGCTACGGTCATATTGTTTTGCTTTCGGGGGCGTTCGGCAAAAGTGAACCAGTCACGAGTCACAACTTTACCAATTTTGTCACCGCTACCCAGCGATTAATCCGAGATCCGACCACGCCGTAGACCCTATAGACCCGCGGAACTCTTCCTTCCTACGCCTGAACTTGTCCCAATTCTCAACCCCAAACTTATAAGGTCAAACTCTAAATGCTTACATCCTGAAGTCCATGTCAGCCCCTTTGAGGGTTTAGGGTTTAGGGCTGTGCAGCCATGGCGGAATCCCTGTACGACGTCATTGGCTCTGGTGGCGGAGCCCAGCGGGTGGCCGCTTGCTTATGGGATGTCGTGGTGATGCAGGCTACTGTGAAATCATTCTAGCGTATACCTACTCAGAGGTTCATGGTACTTCGTAACAAGGGTTATAAACAAGGTAACCATACGTACAATTGGGTATCTCAGAGGTTCAAGGGACTTAGTAAGTACAGTTATAAGTACCTTAACTGGGGAGATACGGTATCTCCCCAGTTACGGTACTTATACCTGTACTTACCACCCAAAGGCTCCATGTACCTTCATAGTAGATATTTAGGCCTTAAAGGGGTCCCTATGTAGGTACTTTAAGGCCTAAGTATATACTATATGGGTACATGGAGCCTTAGGGCCAAGTCCCCTGAACCTCCAAGTAGACGGTCGACTTTCAGGTTCCAGACCCCCAAAAGTATGCAAATGGCCCAATACCTATAAACGGCTGTAGTTCCACAGACTTTTGGGGTCCAGGTATGCTTTTAAGCCACCTAAACCCTACAACTCGAATACCCTAAACCCGAACCATCTTCCTACAGCTGGTATTTAACAGCGACACTCAGGTGATGCAGGTGGTTGTCCTACCCCAACACCAGAAGCGCCGGGGATAACGTCCAGAATCCTAAGCTTCACCCATCGCAACACCTTCTCCCAAGACCCACGCCGTATGAGGTTTCATAGTTTAAAGCCCCAAAACCTTAAGCTCTAAATCTCCAAGTCTTTAGGCACAAGTCCACAAGCCCCGTACCCAGACCTTGAGCTTGGATACTGCCCTCACTCAGAAACAGTTGGATAAGATCCATAATATATACATATGTATATATATATAATTAGATATACTAGGCCCTTAATTGTAGCCCTATTATAGACTGCTACTGCATGTGGGCAGTATCCAGACCTTGAGCCCTCAAGGGCCAGACCCTCAGTGCCAAATCCGAAGCCGCGCGAAGATCCCAACCTGTCACTTTCACCCCCCAACTTTTAGGGGCAAACCCCCTAAACCCTAAGCCCTAAATCCTAAACCCTAAGCCCTAAACCCTAAACCCAGAGCTTCGTGGAGAAAGAGTCAGTGCACTTAAACAAAAAGAAAACTAAAGGGCGATCTCTTAAAAGTTTACAGGCCTGAAACCTCCTAAACCCTAAACCCTATACCCTCAGATCCCTAAACCCGTAGCTCCAGGAGGACATTATCCTGGAGTGCGCGAGGTCGATACACAGAACCCTGTAGACAATAACAGTTTGATCACAAAGGTCCGTCAAAAAACGCCCCTGCAAATGAAGTCAAACAGCCACCTGCTGTCAGGGCTCAGACATCTGGGTCTACATCCGCGCCAATTACAGAAGAAGCCTTTGTGCTACATGCTGAACCCTCTGCCCTGAACCTTTGTCAAACTGTGAACCTAAACCTTGGCAACCTTGGCTCGTGGCCATCCAACCAATCACCTGGGCCAAGGAATTGGCGCTGCAGGCTGATCCTAGCGCATGCCACCCCGGTGAAACATTGAGCTTGTGCTTCTGCTTTTAGTGGTGCATGATGTTGTTGCTGCTGTTGTGTGTTTTGATTTGTTTCCGCTGCTGATGCTGCAGTGATTGTTGTTGTTTTGTTGTTGGATGCATGAGTTGTCTTAGTGCTTGTCAGTAGGTCAGTAGGTATAGAGTACCATAGAGTACCCCTGTATTCCAGTTGCTTATCTTTTCTACATGGCATTGGACCACGGTGTGGGTTTATGCCTGTTTTATTCCTGCACTAGTATATGTCCATACCTAACCTATCTATGTATCAAGCTATCTATCTACCTACTTATCCTATCGTAGATGCTATGATCTTACCTTGTCTTGTCCTGCTGATCTGGTCCGTTATTGTCTTATCTTATCTCGTCGCATCTAGTGAATCTAGTTTAAGCTTGTCTAACCTTATCTAGCCTACTAACCTGACCTTAAACATCTTACCTAATCTCTTCTAATCACGCGTGTATGTCTACGTCTATGCATATATGTCAAATCCAATCCTTCTACCTTTCTACATTCTGAGGTGTATGCCTATGTATATGCATATGGATATGCGTGAATGTATGCCTTTGTGCGTGCGTGTGTGTGTGTGAGAGCGCGCGCATGTGTACGTGTTTGTCTTCACGAAGATACAGTTTCCTATCTATCTATATCTATCTATCTATCTGTATATGCTATATACCCATACAAACACATACAGATATACATACCTGTGTACACATATATGTACGTATGTATGTATGTATGTATGTATACATGCATATGTATGTATACATATGTGTACAGTATTTCTGAGAGAGATGCGGCCAGCCGCAACTCCAAGTCACAAGCTGCATAGAACATCTTAGGCTCAAGCTTCGACCCGCGCACCGGCGAGTGCCTTGCCTTCACCAGCCGGTCAGCTGGAACCAGGTTTTAGAGTTTGCGGTCTTAAGGTTTTGCATTTCGGTCTTCAGGGGTTCTGACGTTTCGGGATGTAGTTAGGAAATGAGGGTTTCATCATTTGTGGGGGGTCTTCGTTGTCGAGGGTGTAGCGGTTTAGTTTACCGATTTAGGAATCAGGGCTTGGTGTGGATTTGATGAGCCTGAATCCGGTGTCTGTTGTCGCAGATTCGGGCCAGCACTATCCACAGAAAGCCGTGCACAGCGATTCTTGTCGGTTACAACATACTAATGCGGCAAAGATACACTTCTCTTTCGTGGCTGCTGGATCACGAGTCGATCAACAATCGGTGTTGTTTCGCGTGTCTGGGCTACTCTAAATCCGGGCTCCATCAGGCCCTGGTGAGTCTGTGGAGGCATGTCCTAGCTTCCGCATTGGGAAGTCAGCGATGTACGGATGTGGGTCTACAAACACGCACGGAGACACAATGGTACTAAGAATAACAACAGTAGTTACATAATAGCAATGATCCTGACGATATTAGCCGTAATCACAGTAGAACCAAACACAATAGTAAGTAATGCACAATAATGACAATCAAAAAGCAGTTATACTATAGTGTGTGTGTGTGTGTGTGTGTGTATGTATTTTGTTTACATATCTAGGGATGTAAACAGGTATGTATATATATATATATATATATGTAAATATGGGGCCCGTAATGTCTTATTTTCTGTATATATATATATATATATATATAGCATGCATTGCATGCAGTAACACAATGACCTGCAGATGCTTGAAAGGAGCCCTCTGCACTTGGCAGCTCGACTGGGCCAGGCTGCCTGCGAACAAACGGGGAGTTCGGTGGATTTTAGGGGTATAGGGTTTAGGGGTTTGGGGTTCAGGGGTTACGGGTTTAGGGGCTTGGGGGTTTAGGGTTTGAGGGTAGCTTGGACGGGCCTTTAAAATTAGAATAAGGATTTTGGGGGTTCCTTATTATATAGTTACAGTATAATATGCTCCCAAACCCGATTTCATTGATTCAGGCACCTGCCGTAGCTTGGACGGTCAACAGAGGCTGCGGCTGAGATTTTCAGGCATGTGGACTTAGGGTTCATGCTTTTTGGTCGGAAGCCCGAGGAGTCGATTGGCTTAGCTTGGCTGGTTCACCCGCAGAGGTGTTCGAGGTTTGGCTGCCTTCGGATGCTGGCTTAGTTCGGAGCTGAGGTAATCGAAGTTAGACAAGGGAAAGCATCGCAGAAACCAAGAACTTCCTAAGCTATGGTTCAGGATCGGGTGTCGGGTGTATGCCTTCTTCCCACGTCCCGAATCATTCAGATGCAACAGCCAAACCCCAAACCTTTCAAACCCCTCTAAACCCTAAACCCTAAACCTTTCAAACCCCTCTAAACCTTGATTTCTAAACCGTTCAACCCCCTCTAAACCCTGAACTCTAAACCTTTCAACCCCCTCTAAACCCTAAACCCTAAACCTGTCAAACCCCTCTAATCCCTAAACCCTAACCCCCAAGCTGTGCACAGGGATTTCTGGCTGTTTGTTCTCCGTTTCAGATTGGCGACCCCGAACCCCAAACCTTTCGAACCCTGACCCAAAGGCGGGTTTAGGGAATAAAGTGGGTATATGGTAGATATTAGGGCCCCGAAAGTATATACTGTACCATTACTTGGACTTTTTGAGACCGTTCAAACCCGGAGTGTGTACTCAAACACGGGAATTTGCGCCCGCGCCCCTGGCCGGCCGAAACCCCCCAACCCGAACCTCTCCAGTGATCTCCAAAAATGCGTGGACTCTCTATGTGAAAGCCTGAAACGCCAACACCATCCAAAACCAAATTCCTAAGCCCTAAACCCCCAAACCTACAACCCTAAACCCCCAAACCCAATAATGCTAAACCCCCTACGCCTGAAACCCTGAACCCTAAAACTTCAAGTCTCCAAGGCAGCAATATCCTACTAGGTTGCCCAGTAGTGCCTTTATTCCCTTTTTGTCGTCCTAGGTTCCTTATACAGTTATACCTAATACCAAAAATGCAGCCCTTTCTAATTCCTAGGTTACTGGGCGTCCTAGCCTAGGGCCCGGGAGCCTGCAGCTGAAGAAAGGTCCATGTACCTGCACAGCCGAGAGACGCCAATCTCCCTTAATGAAGCAATACCTAGGGGCTTTTAGGGCTCCTTTAAGGGATCCTTTGAGGGATCTATAGGGTTTAGGGCGGAGGAGGCTCCAATATCCCTTAATTAAGGTATATACCTGAAATTACAGCTTAATTACTTATTTAAGGGATTGTGGAGTCTCTGGGAGCTTTGTTAAGGCCCATATCCCGTTTCAATGGTACCTTGGTTACTTATACTCCAGGTAAACCCTATAAGCCCTTTCTTACTCTCAGGCATCAAGCCGTTCTCAAGTCGTGACAAGGGACCCTATCCTTACCCAAAGGGTCCAAGTAAGAGTATAGCACATGCTTTCGGGGCCCAAACATCATACTAAGTACCTACGAGATGGGAGTGTCCGAAACTAGGAGACCCTAATATAGTACCCTATATAGTAGGATCCTTATAATAAGGGCCCCAACATAAGGTACCCTTAATTTTCAGAAACTCCCATATAAACCCTAAACCAACTTCCAAAGACCCCCGGCAGGTCGGCACGGTGCGGCGCTTGCTGCGCTGCGCTGCGCCTCTGAATGCGCCTGCGTCGGAGCCCTGGGAGCTATTCTATTGAGGGGCTCAGGGTTCGGGGCTAGGAATATGGGTTGAGAATGTACATTTATATAGGTAGACAGATAGATACGTAGATAGATAGATAGATAGATAGACAGATGACGTTTACCATCTCTGTTAGCAACTCTGGGTCGAAGGGGGTTCAAGGCTTGAGGTGTTTGATTCAAGGACCGGTGCATGGGTTTAGTACTTTAAGAACGAAATGAACCCTAAAAGGGTTTAAGGTTCATATACCATATAGGGATTCATAGTATATGGGTATAGGGCCCCTACCTCTAAGGGTCATTTGGTCCTTCAGTAGAAGTCATGGTTTCGTATGTACAGGGCATTCAGCGCTTGAAGGGTTTCAGGTTCAGAGATGTTCGCGTGCGGCTTAGCATTTGCATGGCTGAGGGCTTATAGACCAAAGGGTCCAAAGCACGTTTATATTAGAATGTAGGGTTTCTATATTAGGAATTACGATTATGATTTGAGGAAGTATCTCCGATAACAGTACCTAGGACCCTTCAGGTAGGCTTTGGAGCTGTTTCGTTCGAAGCCGGAAGTTTTTTGTGAAGGGAGCATTTGGGGCAGCACTTGCATCGACACGGACAGTAGCCTTGCGTCGGCATCCGACACTAACTCTGAAGTGAAGGATCCGGTTACCCAAATAGAAGGTACAATGTTAACCCAGTAGTTAAGCCCTCATTCAGATAACTGCAGCCCTGGCGAATGACAAGGTTACAAATGGCACACAACAACCCTCAACACTAAACCCAACTAAACTCTGAACACTTTACTAACCCAAAGCCCTAAACCCGAAGGCCATTGCATCTTAACAAATTAAACTGAAATCCAAGCCTAGGTACAACGGCTCCCGCGCGACACCTCTCCACTTGGCGGCCGCCCACGGTCACACGCAAGTGGCTGAGGTGGCTCAACTCTGGGTTTGGGACAAGGGCTTCGGACCGAAACATATGAGAGTTTCCGAAAACCCAGGGTATAGTGAGGATCCTACTATTTAGAGTAGTATATTAGGGTCCCCTATTTTCGGAAACCCCATATAATGACAAGGGTTCAGTCTTTGGGACGTAGGGTTTTGCTTTTAGGGTTTAGGCTACTCTACTATACAATACTATAAAACGATAGTTCTATATCGCATGGTGGGCATGGTGTAAGAGTACAATAGTAGCATGCGTTTAAATTATTCTACAGGTACAACTATCTTTGTAAATTGAACTATATGTTTCTAGGACCCAGAGTAGGCCCTTATTCCCTTTTTTGAGGCTTAGGTTCCCTTATAAGCCCCTTTAAACCAAAAAGGGCACCCTTTTTATTCCTAGGTTACTCTTAGGTCTAGGTTTGGTTTTGATGGAAGGCAGGGACCCAGAGACCTCGGTCCCAAACAGCGCTGAACAACCAGAGCCGCATATCCTGCTATACCAATGCGGTTTAGGGTTTAGGGTTTATACTATGCGGTTTGGGGGCTAGGGTTGAGGGCAGTTTTATCGTGCTCTGAAGCTGTAGAGTCAACACCTGCAGTCTCTTCTCGGCCCTGCACGCCTTGCACGGACACGCAAAGCCACAGATCCTGAGCTTGGAGGTGGAATGAACCTTGGCCGGGATTGTAGACTTTCTTGGGAATACATAGATCCTTTTAAGGAACCCTATAGATCCCTTCAAGGAACCCTATAGATCCCGGTCAGGAACCCTATACTTTAAACCCCTAAACCCAGAACCCGAGACTGGCAACGCTTCTAGCCCGAAGCCTCACGTCCTTAGCTGTAAAGCACTCGCATCCCCCTCTGAACCCTGAACCCTTAACCCGGCCTTGACCTAAACCTTCCATCCCGGCCCCAGGGTCGTTCCCTCGTGTCCCCTGAGAAGATTTCACAGTCGCATATTAAGCACCCCCCCCCCCCCTTCCCCCGACGGATTTGTAAACCCTGGAGTCACGCCGATCCTGATTCCCAAATCGGTCTGCTCCACAGGTTCTCCTCCAGACACGTGCGAACCCAACTGCCGTAGACTCGAAAGGCATGGTCCCGGCTCGTGGCGTGGCTGTTCTATTATGGGACACCTGGTTTGTTCAGGTTCTGGTGACACTCTTTACGAACCCCGAAACCCCAAAGCTCTAACTTTTGTTCGAGACGCCACAAACTTCTGCTCGAAACGCTGAACCAATCGCTGGGCGACAAACTCTCCAAGGCGTCTTAGCAGGCGGTTGCAATTCTTGACAGTCGCGCACATAGGTATTTAGGCATGAGGCAGATAGAGAGGCAGGCAGGTCGATAAACAGGTACGCTATAGAACGGCAGATAGACAGATAGATAGGACTCTGATTTTGGCTACTTAAGTAGGGTTGGGAAAGAAGTTGGTTTCGATTCCTGAATATTCAGTATCGGCAAGCACCAAAATTCCTAATCTAGCTTTACTGTGATGTACCCCCAAAACCCCAGTCTAATGATTGAGGCCCTTAAATACATTAGTATTGACACCCCACCTTACAACGCCGGACCCCAAATCGTAAGCTCATGAAGTTAAGGCTCGCACCTCTATCCTAATCGACAACCGGGAAACTGTAAGCGGACATTTCTTCTGCTGGCATGTAGAAAGCTCAGCGGAGTAGCCGAGACGCCGAGACTGCAATGCCTCAGAGATTCATCTTGACACTTGCACCAGTTGTCGCTGTATTGGCTGGTCAATCTCATTACAAATACAAGAGCAGTGACAGTGTTAGTCAATGTGAATGTCTCGATAGTTTTCAGGAGTACAAGACGGTTGTCAAAACAATTACCATCAAAGCAACCGTTGGAAACACTGGTTATGATAGTAGCAACAGCAAGCATGACAATGTGATCGTCTTGACAGGATTAATGTGTACATATTCATCAACTTTTGCCATCACTATAGCAGTAGAGAACACAGCTCTTTTTGCTTTGTGTTTTTCAGGAGCACACGCCGCCTCCAAACCCTCCCCCCCCAAAAAAAAAACCCAAGCCCCTAAACCCTAAACCCTAAAGCGAAAGGATATGCGGAGGCCAACGGGCATCACTCCCTCGCTGAGCGAGCCTCGTCTCTCATTTCGGCCATGACGGCCTAGGACCTAAAGTAGGCCCTTATTCCCTGCCTTTAGGGTTCAGGCTCCTTCACTTTATAACCCCCTTTGAACAAAAAAAGGGCACCCTTTTTTGTCGCTAGCTTACTCTTGGGTCTGGTGGTGGAAGGGTCTGAACAGGGTGTCCGCGCTTTTATGAGGGCATTCGTTTAGTTTTGGAGGCTTTGATGGATTTCTTCAAGGGTTCTGTCGGTGATCTACTATATTATTTTGGAGTTTAGGGCTTTAGGATTTTGAGGTTACAGGGGACTGTAACTTAGCTGCCGGGCATCCAGTTGAAGGGGATTGGAGGTCATAGTGCAGCAACTTGTGTCGGTTTCAGGGCTCGTACGGCCAGATGGTGGAAAGTTGGAGTGTATTGAAATCAAAAAGGCCGCAATACATGCCCTAAAGCCTAAAGCCGAGAGCCCGGCTTGACTTGATGGACATGCACCGACCTTTCACGGCCGTGGCGCACCAACGACTCACGAACTCTTTGAAGCCCAGAGCCCCAAGCCCAAATTTGCCACACAAGCGCCTAAACCCAAACCCTAAGCCCCCAAACCCTCAAGGCCACAAACCCAGGAAGCCTCAAGCCTTAAGGCCTCAAGTCTCATAGCCCCGCAACCGGAAATTGCGGAAACCCAGCGCTTTCAGTGTCGGAAAAATCGGCACAAGGGCCTTATTGATTAGAACAGGGTTTGGGGTGGTATCTTACACTATAATTAGAATAAGGAACCACCAAAACATTCAAAAGCATTGAGGCCCCTACATCAACACGATTCCTGGGGGGGTTTAGGCTTTGTTCCCTTGCGGATCCCTGCTTAGACTCATAACATAACATACCCTATACTGAGCCCATGTTGAACCCTTATAGTACCCCAATAGTAACCCTCATTGCTCTGTTATTATAAGGCCCCTATATAGATGGTTGTCAATATTTGGGTCCCTTTACGGGTCCTTTTTATGATAGTACAGCACCTATTATTTAGGGTACCCAGAAATGGGGCCATAATTTCGTCCAAAGCCCTGCTAAGGTTTGGACGAAGAGCGTCGAAACGCTGGTGACTTCGAGCTGGCGGCCCGGGTCTCGGATATCCATCCTTCTTAATTGGGAGCCTAATTCCATAATAGTAACCCTAAATGGAGCCGCTGGGTTTGGGTCTAACCATGCCATAATAGTCCCACTGCGTGTCTGAACAGCGAAACACATGAATCAGATTGCATCAGCACATAAAGTATCTCTAAGTTCCCTTCGCAGAGTTGAAAGCGTTACGAACCAGGCCAAGCAAAGCCAAGCCAAGCCATGCGAAAGTCGGAACTCCCAAAACTTTCGCAGAAGACCCTGTGTAACAGCATACCCTGTCTATATCCGAGACCCCCAAATCACAGATCCCCGTTGTCATGCCACTTCGGCCAGCCTTGTAGTTCAGATGAACATTCCACTTCAATTGTGCCATGTGAGATACTAATTAAGTACATGAGAGCCGTTCCAGTGCTACAGTTCTGAGATTTCAAAACAGGTGGTGCGCAAATCAAAGATAGCATTCGTTCTTGCAGACATGATGTGGCATGCATAGGGTTTTGGCAAAACCTTCAATCCTGAACCCCTAAAGTCCAAGCCCCCCGACCCCTAAAACCCTAAACCCCTAAACCCTATAACCCTAAACCCCCAAGCCCATAAAACCCTAAACCCGATACCGTTCTGTCTGGCTTGGGTTTAGGACACCAGAGATCCAGAGTGCCCACCCCAGGTGCTACGACAGAGGGTGCAGGGTTTCTGAAGCTTAGGGTTACGTTTTGGGATGCCCTAAAGCCTATGTAAGCCCTCCATGCCGAAATGTACGGATGGTTTCAGGGGTGATGCCGGTTTCAGAAGCCTCTTGAGGATCTTGGCCGTCTTGCAGCCAAAGGCTTCAACGAAGCCACAGACAGCCACTTGCGACCGATTGGGGTTTGGGGTTTCTGGCTTTAGCATGTCTTCTGAATCCTGTCTTGGGAAAGAGAAGTCGGTTGCGTCGGAAGGGTAGGGACAGATTCATTAAAGTCGTTGCAGTGCTTAATTTCACCTCCCTTCGATGCTCTATCCGCATGGCTGCTATTCCTGTTTCAGGTGCAGCAGGGTTTTAGATTTGAGGGCCTGGGGTACCGATTTTTACCTGCGGGAAAGGATGACTTCCGCAACCGCAGATGTTTCCTAACCCTAAACCCTAACCTGACGACTGAAACCTAAGTCCCAAAACCCTGAACCTGTAAATCCGAAATCCTTGAGGCCCTTGTTAGACCTGTATAGCTACCTTATCTGTCTCGTGCTTCTTCCTGAACGAGGCTAGTGCAAGACTTATTTGCGGAAGTCCATACCCTTACCGGAAATTCCCCTGTTTTTGGAATGCACTTGTCTGATTGCCAAAATAATGCCACGCTCCACAATTCGAAGTCAAGCTACTTGCAACTTTCGATATACATTCGCACGAGCCCTTAAATCCCTCTGAAGGACCAACATCCGTCTAAACGCTGCGAAGCTCCAGAAAATCCTGAGAATATGTTGCTTACAGCGACCCATGGACGTCTAAGTAATCTACTATCATGTACTGTCGCTTGCTTCACGGTACGATCGTAGACTGTAAATCACCATCATGTACTATACCCTAAACCCTAAACAATATCCTTCAAGTACAAGCCGGGACGAGGCCTTGCGTCAGCCTTTGCTGGCTTCGGGCTGACGTGGCTCAACTGAAGACGGGGGCTCTGAACTCAAATCTTGAGACATCTTTGGACTACCATAGGGGCCTTAGCATTACCTATACTATGTTTGGGGGGCTCCTTGATCACAATTATGGTATAATACCTCTTATATCACACTTTCATGGCTTGTTGCCTACTGCTGGAAGTTGTGCTTGGTTTTCCCGTCACCCTAAACCCTAAACCCCCAAGCCCCTAAACCCCCAAACCCCTAAACCCCGAACCCCTAAACCCCTAAACCTCAGATCACGAGTGCCCAAGTTGTTGACCAACTTACCTGTCTATCCGTCGGCACACGAGAGTGTCCGAAAATTAGGGGGTACCTTGTTTTGGGGTCCTTATAACAAGGATGCCCCTTTTCTGGAAACTCCCACATGCTTCACTTCTCATGCTGTCATACTGTACACACCTAAGTCTGAATTCCATATATAGTCTATTGTATAAACTTTAGGCTACTAAGTACCTACTATCATGGTACTTGGACCCTTTCAGTAGCTCCTTAGAGCCTAACCCTAAGGGTCCAAGTACTTAATAATCATATACTCTTCTACATACTAACCTACAAAACGGATGACCATCCGTAACCCAAGTACCTGATTATGAGGTCCTTTGGACTTTTAGTGTAACAGCCCTGGTCTCATCTAATCCCAGGAACGTTTTTGGCGACTCGCAGGAAGCGAAGCCGCGGCCTGCAGCGCCGGACAGTGATTCTAGCTCTTCCAAGCCCCCTTCATCTACCCTAGAGCTATTTCGAGAAAAGGTGCATGACCAGTTTTTTGGGGCAATTTTCCTTTCTTTGAAGTACATTCAGGTAAGAAGGACCTTTACGAGGCTGAAACAGATATGTAAGCTTGTGTAAATTATTCGAGAACTTGCTGGCGTTTTCGGTTTCGATGCATCTCTAGCGGGGTGGGCTGGTGCTGTTGCTAGCCGAATTGAACGAGCGCACTCGTTTTTGGTGTGTCGTATCTTTCGGTGATGCAGTATTGACTGACCTCAGAGTTGCAGGCATGGGTTATATCCGTCAGGCTTGCACCTATCCCATCACTAATTTTCGATTCGACCGATGCCATGTCTGACTGTGGCCTGTGGAAGTGCATAGCTAGGCAGCTAGGCTTTGCGACTTTGACAAGCGAAGCAGGAGTCCTACTTCTTTGCTGTGTGTGTATGTGACGCATGGCTATTCTTTCGGATGGGGGAGTCTCTACGAACCCCCAAACCTCCAGATTAAAACCGTAAGCCTCCACACCGTCTTGAGACTTGAACCAGCGCATGCGAACTCATAAGCCATGCCACAGGTACTTGGAGGTTGATGGGTAGTTATAAGTGGAGCCAAAAGTCTCCTAACATGGGTTGTACATATAGTTACCTTACTTTTAACCCCACTTATTACTACCTGCGAACCTCCAAGTATCATAAGTCCCCTAATATGGGTTATAAATATAATTACCCTACGGATAACCCAACTTATAACTGCCCATGAACCTCCAAATAGGCCCTGAACCCCATACCCTTATAGAATCCCTACAGAGCCCTTTAAAGGGGCCCTTAAACGAGCCCTTATAACTATGAACTGCCAAGTATCCCATGTTATCTCGAAAGCCCCAGAGACTCCAATACCCCTTAAGTAAGGAATATTCCTTAAATCATAATAGGGATCCTATTCTAATTTAAGGTATATTCCTTAATTAAGGGTTTTGGAGTCTCTGGGGCTACGACCCCAAACCCTGAACCCATTGTCTCCAGGAGGCGCCCTTCCCCAAGCCGCCCGCGCCTGCTGCGCCCAATGGGCCTCCTAGCAGTAGATGAAGTAAGCCTTTGCCTTTTTTTTGGGGGTGTCATGATCCCTGTACTACATATTCTACACATGTATGTGTATATAGATATTCCTGGCCAGAAAACACAATTATGTATGCATGTATGTCTGTATGTATGTATGTTTACATACGTATATGCCCCGACGCCATACGCATATTCCCTTATAGAGCCCTTAGAGGAGCCCTCAACCCTCATAGAACCCGAGTAGGTCCCTTCAGAGCTTCTTAGGGCCTAGGTTAATTTCCTTTTAAGTATCCCTTAAAGGAGCCGTAAACCGTTACAGAAACCTGACAGATCCCTTAAAGCTACTGGGCAAGTTAGGCAGGAAGGATCCCTAGACCGTTATAGAAACCTGATACATCCCTTAAAGAATCCCTTAAAGGAGCCCTCAGCCCTAATTGTAGAAACCGAACACATCCCCTTAAAACTGCTGGGCAAGTTAGGTCCGTGCCTGGCTCGAGGCCGGCTCCTGCAAGCCCTGTTTCTGCGAAGCCACCAAGCCAAAGGAAGCTGGAGGCCACAGAACATCTTGGAAGTAGGGTTTGAAGGGTTTAGGGTGAAGGTTCAGGGGTCATAAGGGTTCAGGGTGTAGGGTTTCATTTTGCAGATGGTGGGTAGAATTTGGAGCTTTGCATGGGTGATCAGATCAGCCGTCAGTGTCGAAAGCTTACTGACTGTCGGGCCATGGAGGATTTAGTGACGGGGCTTAGGGTGTTAAAGTCCATTGCTGCTTTCGGTGCAGCCCCAAACCCAAAACTTCTGACATGGCACAGCGTGTAGGAGTCGACTTCGGAACACCACGTCCCTTCATGGTGAGCTTGCGAACCCAAAGGGTCCTGGGTACTGTTATGGGGGATACTACCCCAAATCATAATAGTAATTCCTAATATAAAAACCCTACATTATACTATAAAGGTACTTTGGACCCTTTGGGGAATGCAAGGAGGAGGGCTTCAGGCTTCAAAATTGTGCCATGGGGTCCCCTAAACCCTAAACCCGAAACCCTAAACCCTAAACCGGCTTTACGACGGTCCATCATGTTTGGTCCATGCCTGTGCTGAAGCGTCTCAGGCCTTTGCCTCAACCCGAAACCCAGCCTTTCAAGCGTACATCCTCATACAGTATATAGCCTTTATGTAACATATGACATCTAATCTAGTATCTAACAAGTCCTTTAAACATGAAGCCCCTAGCCAGACAGTATATATCCTTTACGTAGCATATGATAACTAGTACCTAACAAGTCCTCAAAACATGAAGCCCCTAGCGCAGAGTATGTTATACGTTCGTATATGGTATATGTCCAAATTTTACAATATAGGGCAGTATACCACGGTACACGATAGTATATGTTAGTCTATGACAGTCCCAACCCCTGCCTAAACCCTAAACCCAACACCAACCCCAAGACGACTCAAGACGGCCTTGGTGAGGCCATCGTCTCGCGAGTGGAGGCAGTGGAGAGTGTTGCACCTCGTACTCCTATACCCTGGGGCTCCACTTACCTACATGGGAGTTTCCGAAAACAGGGGACCCTAAGATAGTACCGTAAATAGTAGGATCTTATAACGACCTCAAACGAAGGTACCCCTAATTTTCGGAAGCTCCCACATAACGGTCCTGGGTTACATATCATATCGCTAGTAACCTACCATTCAGGTAAGCGGAGCCCAGGGGTAAGTAACCTTTTGCCTTTGTTGGGGTATTATAATCCCCATACCCTATGCCTCCATGGACCTTATTATGGGGTCCTTAAGGGGTCTAGGGCCCTAACTATGTGGTCCTTGGAGGGATAGGGATATATATGTATATATATATATATATATATATATATATATATATCGCAAAGTGGATCCTTCAGTTCCCCGGTTTGCTAATAAGAGTTCTCATGGCACTTCCGCGTAGATGCCGAGAATGCGGGCCCTAGGGTTGCCGCCGCAAGCGTGGATGCAGCCACAGGACCGTAAAAAGCCGCCGCCATATCCGCCAACAGCGAACGTAATGTGTTAGCATGACGATGAATATAGTGTTGCTCGTTGGCATTTTGCCCTGGGTAACTCTTGTTTTTCATGTCAGGGGTTAGTTATGTAAGTGCATCGCGGAGGCGGCATCTGCTGTTAGTGATGAGGGTGATGGCGATCATGGCGATGGTTACCATGACGTTCATGATGATGATGATGATGATGATGATGATGATGATGGCGGTGGTGCTGATGTTCAAGATGGAAATGTTCCTGCCGATGCTACTGTACGCATGAGGTTTAGTTGTTGCTGCTGGTGATGGTGGTGGCGGTGATGTTGGTGATGGGAATCTCATATTGCAATACTGGTCCGCAGCATGATAGTGAAGGTATTGGTCAGACCCAGAGCCATCATCTTAGACGGGGGATCTTTAAACTTTTTGGCCTTATATATTAGCTCTGTCTTAGAAAGTTTGATCTAAGTTTGAACTTTGTGGGGCCCGGTTGTTGAAGAAGAGAGTCATCACAGAATCATCACCGTGGCTTCAGGTGTTTGTTGATGTCGACAATGGCCATTGTAAGTTCATTTCGAATCGCCAGGGGCATCGTCAATACTGCGCACCCGACAACCAAATCCTACACCCTAACAGCCGCTACTTACTGAGCTTGAGGTAGATGCTGGGCATTTGCGCTGCTTGGCTTCTCCCAATCCCTACCAGCCCAAAAAATTAAACTCCACACTATTAGGTCCCCTTTCTCGCCCGATCCCTTTCCCTTCTTCCCGACAAGGGCTTGTCTGAGGATGGGTCGCAGGCAAGAGCTTGTGATGCTTCTGCGTTACGTTTCCTCTCAAGAGTGCTAGGTTAGGTGTCCTTGAAAAGGGCGATCTCGCACCATAAACCCTAAGATACTGGGCTTGAGGATCCCAGATATTTGTCTCTCGCTTTGGGCAAAAAAACGTCGGGTTCGGTTTTTTGGTATTAAGAAGCTAGGATGCCCAGTAGTACCCTTATTCCTTTTTTGTAGTCCTAGGTTCCTTATAAATAGTTACCCAATACCAAAAAGAGATGCCTTTTTATTCTTAGGTTACTGGGTATCCTAGATTAAGAAGGCATATGCCGGGCTGAGGCTGAGGTGTTTGAGCACTGATGGAGCTTTGGGGTTAGGGCCTTGGAGGTTAAGGCTCAGGCTCTTGGGTTTTGAGGCTTGCGACTTGTGCTTTTGTTTTTAGGCTTTATAGGCCTTTGGGGTTAATTAAGGCTCAGGCTCTTGGGTTTTGAGGCTTGCGACTTGTGCTTTTGTTTTTAGGCTTTATAGGCCTTTGGGATTAATTAAGGCTCAGGCTCTTGGGTTTTGAGGCTTGCGACTTGTGCTTTTGTTTTAAATAGGCTTTGGAGGCTCAGCACCTTGCAACTCGTTTGCGATAACATGAGTAGCCTTAAAGCACTTGTGTAGTACCCTTTATAGTATCCCTTTAGTACCGTTGTGAGCCTGCTGCGCCTTTACTGCGACTGCTGAGCCTGACAAAGCTGTGATCTACCCAGCGATCCCTGACGGCTGGGTTCCACCGGAATGCCCGGCTGGCATACCCTATCCCTCCAAGGACCTCATAGTTAGGGCCCTAGACCCCTTAAGGACCCCATAATAAGGTCCCTGGAGGCATAGGCATAGGCTTGGGGCCGGCCACAACCCTTCGCCTTGTGTCCTGTGCGTGGGCATGCAAGTGCACGCTGAGAGATGCGGCAGATGCCATCCCTAAGCCCGAGACCCCCAAATTCTGAAGGGTCCAAGTATCATTATATATCATTATGGTCTATACTTAGAGGGAATTTTGGGGGGGTCTAAGTATATACCATTATGCTCTATGCTTATAGGGAATTTGGGGGTCTAGGTTTATACCATAACGGTACTTGGAGCCTGTGGGACTGCGGAAGATCCGAGGCCCTGCCTGAAGGACCAAATGACCCTTAAAAGTAGGGGCCCTATACCCATATACTATGAATACGTTTGTGGTATATGAACCTTAACCCCTTTTAGGGTTCATTTCGTCCTTAAGGTCTATGCCAATCCTTTCAACCCGCAAGGGCTCGAGTCTGCGAATCGCGTAGTAGCTGCATCTCGCACTCACTGATATAATATATATATATATATATATATATACACATATATATATATATATACATATATATATATATATATATTTATTTATTTAAAATACTGTGACCCTTCGCTTAGCTAAGAGCAGACAGCAGATAGTATACTTCTATTCTTTGACAGACGTCATCTCGCACTACTTAGTACTTGAAACGGGATGTTGCCGTGCGTAACGTTTGGATATGGTGCGGACTCGCTGGCTCACATTCAGAGCTCAGCTGCTCACCCTATTCCAGGATCCCTTCTTAGGACCCCGTTGAATTAAAGCTGAGTTTCAGAAAATGAGGGTCACCAATATATCCTCCAACAGAGTTCGCTACTGGTAAGAGACCTTTTAGATCCAGAATCACACCATGCGGTATAAACCGTATGAGCCTTAAACCACACGCAGTCAGCAGGAAGCCTTGCAATCCCAGAACCGTACATAAAGACTTGCGGATCCCAGCAAACTCGAAAATTCACCCTATCCAAGCAGCTTCAGATGGTGGTCTGAATACTTAAGCAACCTTGGCGTTCTTCTGCTTGGCTCTTGGGACTTTAACTTGTTGGGTTTCTGTATGAACCATAACAAGGAGGCTAAAAGTTTAACTTTTCGGAGGGGTTCAGAAGACAGCCAAGCAACAGTGACCCGCATGGCCCCTTGATCAGTATTCTTAAATCTACCCCGAAACCCTAGAGCATCCTATGAAGGCACGCAAGCTCGACGGCAACAATTCTCAAAAGAACTCCTAAGCCCCTAACTGATCATAAGAACATCAGGAACCGGGATCCTCCAGAGTAGGTTTTGAGAGGCTGGAGCCCCGAGATTGAACCGTGTAAAATCCCGCCATGAAGCAAAAGAATCAAGACCCATTAGCAACACAGCAACACCCTATGAAATCCTCTATTTCAGCCTCCTCTGTCTATGAATCCGTTACCTCTGTCCATGATCCCTGAACCCCAAACCTAAGCCCTAACTTGAACCCCTCTCCTAAGGTGACGCGCGAGGCTGGCAAGATGAGCTTACGAAGGCTTTTCACCGGTTTGAGGAGTTCGAACGTAGGAGATCTTTGGACGAAGAGTCGAGGGAGCTAGGGCTTCGGATCTGGTGTTTAGGAATGAGGGTGTAGGAGTTCGGGTTGAGGATTGAGGATTTAGGAGTCAGGGTTTGGGAGTTCGGGTTTAGGACTTAGGGCTTTGGGACTTATAAGGATTTAGGATCTACCTATAGTCTCCATTGTAGTTTCTTTTTTGGTTAACCAAACTTATAGTATAAGATCCAAACCATAACATTGGTTAGCCAAAATAAGGAACTACAATGGAGACTACAGGTATAGTCCGTAGGACTTTGGGTTTAGGACTTTGGGTGTTTCGGATCTCGGGCTAAGTCCACGCGGGGCTTGAGGGTCTGGTCCTAGCATTTTCGGGTTCCATAAGGGTAGTTGTCAAAATTAGGGTCCTTTTTGGGTACCCTAAATATTAGGTGCCGTACTATAATGGGGACCCCAAAAGGGACCATAATTTTGACAGCTAACCATTAGGGTTCCCTAGAGGAACCAATGTACCTTCCCAAAGGGTCCAAAGTACCTTTTTTGCATAATGTAGGGTTTCTATATTAGGAATTACTAGTATGATTTGGGGAAGTATCCCCCATAACAGTACCCAGGACCCTGAGAGGAACCAATGTACCTTCTAAGCAGGGATGTGACCCTAAACACATTGGTACATTTACGTGTTTTAAGATTCTTGGGTTACTCTCGTTCCAACTAATGATCTTATGATTCGGTGCTTGGTCTAGGATAGTAGAAACTGCAGGTCTTTATTTTTGGGAGGGTACGGTTTGTGTCCCGAGTGCCGTATATCATAGCAAGATAACACCAACAGCGCCAACACATTTTTTCCAAAGAATATCTAGCATATTTTAACCAGGAAATCAGAATGAGGTACCCTAAACACGTAGTTTAGGAGGCTGCATGTAGAACTGAATAGGTGGGTTTTGAGAAGTTAAGGCTTGAAGATTTTTGTTTATCCCTAATTCCGTGCCCCCGTCCCCAGCAAATAGCTACACATGCCTTTGAGTGCAGGTGAGTCGTGAATCCTGCTCGTTTTTCAGCTATGCCGCGCGAAATAGAATCACCGCAATGACATGAAAAGACCTACTTGTCCTTGCACCTGAAGCCGCCAACTGCTAAACCCAAAAGCCATGTAGCCCCCAAGCTTTGTCCCTTGAAGACCTATGATGACCTGCCTACCAAGCCCTACTTGAAGTTTTATGTGTATTTGCAAGTGGGTTACAATCACGGTACCCTCCGATACCCTGTCCCTTAAGTCCGCGAAGGATGGGGAAACCCTTCGAATCTTTGCCCGGGGTCCTGCGTTTGAAGTAGTCATCAGAATCAAGGAGAGAGGGCGGAAACGGGAACTCCCCAGCAAGCCCAGGATCTGCAAGAGATCGTGCATGGCGAGGGTTCCCTGACGTGGGACCCAAAAAAACCTGCAGCGGCCTGTGTGTGAAGCTTCCGTGCCTGGAAGAGGTGGGTTCTTCTGACAGGGAGGTGGATGTCCCGCACATCTACTTCAGCTGTGCTTCATATGCGGCCACTGACCCGTGTGTGTCGGAACCTCCGGTCCGTGCTGGCGGCCTGCCACAGGATCGAGGGTGCACGGGCCATGTTCCAGGGTGAGAAATGTTCTGGGCCAGGCGGCCAATTTGACGCCACAGAAGATCTTGCTTCTCGGCATGGCAGCCCAGCCCAGCCCAGCCCGGCAATGGCTTTGGCACTCGGAGCAAAGGCTGCTAAGGGCACTCTGCAGGCCACAAAGTGGGGCCTTGCCGATGCATGCATCCACTACATCTCTACATCTTGGACTCTACAGGTGCATTCAGCCCTAATCATAGAATCCCTACAATCCCTGCACACCTCAGACAGCCCCCGCCGTAAAAGCCTTAAATCCTGATACACTGTATCCCCAAAGCCTATGCCCTTCAAGCCATTCATGGCTACAAGCAACACCCTCAGCGTAACGTAGCACAGCATCCCGACCAAAAGACATCTAACCCTACCTAGAGTAATTATACGGTAGCTTAGAAGAGTAGATGTATCAAGTTTTTAGTGCCATATATCCGATTTTAAAGGTACATGGGTTGCTGTAGGTAGAAAACAATACACCAGGAGTCCAAGTACCTAATCATCATCTACTCTCACAAGTCCTAGCCTACATATCTGCTACATTGTAAAACCGACTTACCTAATCATTGGGTCCTTTTAGACCCATAGAACCCTACTAGTCTTCTAGACCCCTCTAACAAGATCCTTTTACAGGAACCCTGTTCTAATTATCAATCCCCCGTCTTTTAACGCAAACCCTAAACCCTAAACCCCTAAACCCTAAACCCTAAACCCCTAAACCCCTAAACCCCTAAACCCCTAAACCCTAAACCTTAAGCAGGCCGCCTGTGAACTGGATGGCATGGATCTGGCTCCGCAGAGCCACGAGACCCCCGGCACTGCTTGGGGTTCCGAGTTAGGGTTTAGGGTTTAGGGTTTAGGGTTTAAGGTTTAGGGTTTAGGGTTTAGGGTTTAAGGTTTAGGGTTTAGGGTTTAGGCACTGCTTGGGCTTCCGAGCTCCGGGCTTTCTGCGCAAAAAAAATCTTTAAACTAGGGCTCATGGGGCGCAGGGCCAGGAATTACAATCTTTAAGCGAGGGTTTAGGGTCTATAAGGAGTATAACAACCCCAGATCTTCGGTTACAAGAATATCTTCAATCTAGCGTTTAGGGTTTAGGGATCATAACACCCAAAGGGTCCAACGTAACATTATGGTCGAATGCAGGGTTTCTATATCAGGAATGACTAGTATGATTCGGGGAAGTATCCCTAAACCCTAAACCCTGAACCGCTAACAGTACCTAGGACCCTTTGGGACAACCCTATGGCCTTGATTACCTAGATAGCTAGTAGGTTTAGGGTTTAGGGTTTAGGGTTGCTATCCATTCAAGATGTAACCCAGTAACATCCAGTAACCCATTATTCAGGTGATTGGGGGTCTAGGGCAAGAGAAGGCCGCCAAGAGACCCTACACCCCAAACGGCCCCCCCCCACCCCGACTCCCAAACTCCAAACTTTGCCAAGCAGCCCAAACGAGAAACAAGCCGCAAGGTAAACACGGCACTAAACCCTGTAAGCCCCAAACCCTCAACCCTCAATGCGCTTCAAAGGAGGGGCGTGCGCCGTGAGCTTCTGCATCGGATCGAGCGTTCGGGCTGCATGGGTCGAGAGTTTCTTTTTATACGTTTTCCTTTCAATGGGGTTCTGTAAGGTGTTTATGGTGGCTCAGCGTTTAATGCTGGGGTGTAGAGTTCAACGTTATGTTGATGTTTCGGATTTCCTGGAAATTAGGCCTATTAGGTGCTCCCGACGTTCATTATGCTTTTGGGCAGTTCTCTCTTCCGCCAAAGTAGTGTGCATGGCACTGTGGCATAGTACATTCTGCCCTGAGTATTGCGCAGCGCTGCATCAGGAAGTTACGATTGAAAGGGGCACAGTACCCCTGCATTGAGCAGTAACTCACATGTTTCCTTTTAATCACACAAGTTAGTTGCCTTGCATGACTGAAGGAAAATGTGCCTTACAGAAACAGTACCTATATATAGTCTCCATTGTAGTTCCTGTGTTTGGTTTAACCAATTATACAGTAAGGATCCTATAAGGTAACCCCAAAAAGGAACTACAATGGAGACTATAGGTATGATTTGGTTCTTTGGGGTTCTGTCGAGTCTCTGCTTTGCAAAGCCAGGCAGATGTCTGCTGAAATGACTCAGACGACTACTGCCCCGTCCAACCCCCCAACATTGGGGCCTGAATAGTTAACAGCACTGTGCGGTCGGGCTCGTGATGTATGTGTACGGTGTACGTATTTCAAGAAGCCACACAATCTACCACCAGATACCCTAAACCCTAAGCCCTAAACCGTGCTGATGATCAAGGTCCCCGATATATCACCCGGAGCCCCGAAAACTCTGCTCTTCGACGTCGGGCACTCGAAATTGAATCCAGGAGCCTTTGTGCTGATCCCGGCCAGTATCGTATAGTACTTTATAGTTTGTATTATAGCATATGTTATAGTGTCTTATGGTACTTTAAAGCTGGATGCAGTTCTCTTTTTGCGTTGCGTTCCTTCGTCTAAAAGGGGTCCCGAAGATCCAAGCAAAGCAGATACAAACCAGGGCCCTGGCACAACTTCAGCCCAACAATCACGATCTGAAGTGTCGTTGTAGAGGGTGGCGGGCACGACCATCGACGAGCGGATGGATGCATCGGCGCATCTGGGACTGCAGATGCGCGTCACAAATCGCTCAGCAAGTTTCAGTGCCGACAGTTGATGCCATCGCGTTTCGGCGTTACGGTGTTGCATTGGATTTTCTCACAAACGAGTGTGCTTGTCGAATCCGATTGCGTCCTCGTTGGGCCGCCTTGGACCCTATCAGGGAGGGGCCTGGATAACTAGAATAGGGTTTTGGGGTTCCATATAATAATTATCGTCGTAGAAAAGTATAATATGCCCCTAAATACACCGTATTCTAATTATTAAGGCCTCGATCGTAGCTGATGCAGATGATCGAGTGTAGCCTTTAGGTGGGTTGTGTATGATGGCCACATGAAGCCCCTATGATGGTCTCATTAAGTCCTTATTGTGGCTATATAAAGACCTTATTCTTTGTAATATTTTTATTATGATTATTATGATCATCATCACTACCAATTCTATCACTTATTAGTATTCTTGTTGTTGCTCTTCTTCTTATTATTATTGATACTATCCTGTTTGTTGTTATGACTATATTAAGCCTGCATCGGTTCTCATCCACACAGGCGGAGGCTTTTGATCGCCACGGAAGCGGTCGATGAAGCGGAGGCCAGTTTCGTTTGTAACTACAGGTCTAGGGTTGAGGGTTTAGGGCTTCGGGTTAAGGGTTCATGGGTTTATGTGTTTGGGGTTTATATTAAAGGTCTCCATTTTACTTGTTTTTTTGGGGGTTTAACCAACATCATAATTAATCTAGGACCCTGTAAGGTAGCACTATAGGCAGTTTCATAGGGCTTAACGAGGTACGCTTAAGCAGCAGAAGCAGCAGAAGGAGACATGATCCTGTAGGTCCTAGGTAGTATTAGGGAGACCCCTTGAAGGGGACCCTTCTTGACCCTGCTTCTGGCTCTCTTAAACCGGGACCTTATCGAGAGGGTCAAGATCCCCAAGGTTCCCCCTAATCTTAAACTCTACCCTAAACCCTCAACCCTAAACCCTACCCTAAACCCAAAACCCTAAACCCTAAACCCAGGGTACTATGTTAGGGTCCCCCCATTTTGGGAAACTCCCATTCTGCCCTGGTTTGCAAGGCCTCCTGGCGACTGGGCGACGGTGGGCCATCGGAGCTAAAGGCGAGATTTGCTAGGACCCAGAGTAGGCCCTTATTCCCTTTTTTAGGGTTCAAGTTCCCTTCTAAGCCCCTTTAAACCAAAAAAGGGCACCCTTTTTATTCCTAGTTTACTCTTGGGTCCCTAAACCCTAAACCCCTATAGATCCCTTAAAGGAACCCTTATAGTACCCTTTAAAGGACCCCTTAGGTTACTCTTGGGTCTAGTTTGCATGGAACTTATCACGGAGCGCTTTTCGAGATCAGGGTTTCAGTCGGTAGGGGCCCAGACCTTCCAAAATCCCTTAATTAAGGAATACTCCTTAAATCATATTAGGGATCCTACTATAATTTAAGGTATATTCCTTAATTAAGGGATTTTGGAAGGTCTAGGGGCTTCTGGGTTTAACTTTTTTGTGGGGTGCAGAGCTTCAGGTCCAGAGTTTGGGGTGATGGTGGTCTTTGAAGAGTTTCATGGGTCAGTTGTGGCCGTTGTCTTCATATCTGGATCGGCGATTTCCAACCATCTCGAATGTTTTGCTCACAACTCGCCATTCGCTGCATCTTCTACAACTTAGACCTTAAACTTTGCCTCCTTATCCCCGAACCTTAAATCCGAAACCCAGGGTTTCTGAACACGGTAACCCCATCAAGTAAACACAGATCCAAAGCAACAAGCGGGCGGATTCAAGCACGGCCGCCAATGCAGCAAACAGATTCCGAAACGCCGAGGGCTATATTCCTTAATTAAGGGGTATTGGGCTCTCTGGGAATGTACTTTTAAGAAAGGGACATGCCTCAACATGGCCCTTATTGGTACATTCATGTTTGTATTTAGGTACCGTGGTTCCTCGCCCCCCGAAGGGTCCTGGGTACTGTTATGGGGGATACTCCCCCAATTCATAATAGTAATACCCAATATAAAAACCTTACAAGCCTACATTCGACTATAAAGGTATTCTGGACCCTTTGGGTCTAGCAAAGCCTTGCTAAGCCCGGCCCTAAGCCCTAAACTCTAACTTACTAAACCCCTAAACCCTAAACCCCTGAACCCCTAAGTCCTAAACCCCTAAAGCCCTAAACCCTCAACCCCTGAACCCCTAAATCCTAAACCCCTAAAGCCCTAAACCCTAAACCCCTGAACCCCTAAATCCTAAACCCCTAAAGCCCTAAACCCTAAACCCCTAAACCCTAAAACCCTGAACCCTTAAATCCTAATCCCCTAAAGCCCTAAACCCTAAGCCCCTAAACCCCTAAACCTTTCTAACCGTTTAATTTTAGACTGATGCACCTCGAGGCGTCAAGCTCCCAAGAAGTCTTAAGCCCTGAACCATATGCTGCAGATTTAGGCATACGTTTAAAGGGATCCTTTAAGGGTTCCTTATAGGGGGTCTATAGGGGTTCTATAAAGGGTTTCGAGTTTAGGAGTCCGAAAATAGGGGTACATTATTTTGGGGTCCTTGTAATCAGGATCCTACTATCTGGGGTACTACAACAGGGTCCCCCCTTTTTGGGAAACTCCCATATGAAGACTAATCCCTGCCTATAGGGCTTAGTAGGGAGGGGTTTCGAGTTTTCGGTTTGGGGGTTTAGGGTTGAGGGTTTAGGGTCTTCGTGCAGGCCCTGGACCAGCGCCTGTCGGCTGCAACCGACGATCTCGACGCCGTGCAGTGTGCAACGGAGGCGTGTTTCAGTGGAACCGGTTGACTTTGTCACAGTTGTTACATGTTTATGGGTACTTAAACCCAATAAGGAATAAAAATGCACGACTAGTTGAGGATTTCGGGTGTTCAGGTTCGGGGTCGTATTCTTTCGGTCCCCTTGCTGCAATTTACTTAATAGTATGATAATACCCATCCCTTCTCACAATCTGTATGTACATACTTAAGTGTACATGTGTGTGTGTGTGTGTATGTACGGATATCGGGTTGGGAGGGGGCGGAATCCCGTAGGCTACTATTAGGTTCAGGGGAGCCTTTAACCACCAATCCGATGCTTCAAGCCGGTTTAGGGTTTAGGGTTTTAGGGTTTAGGGTTTAGGGTTTAGGGTTTAGGGTTTTAGGGTTTTAGGGTTTAGGGTTTAGGGTTTAGGGTTTAGGGTTTTAGGGTTTTAGGGTTTAGGGTTTAGGGTTTAGGGTTTAGGCCTGAACCTTTACCCTCAATCACGACGCGCGTAAAAGCTGCCCCAACCCGCTTCCTATGCCATTCACCGCTAAACTCCAAGCCCCAGGCTGGAACGAAGGGCCTTAAACTATACTGAATATTACACCCTCTCGCCATTCTGCCCATCTTGCGAGAAACTCCCGGGCCAGCAGAAAGGGCTTCGCCATACGCCACATCCTGACCCAAAGACTTCAAGAGCCGCCGTAACTTCGGGTATAAAGAATAGTTACGACTTTGGGTTGTGCTGGTCTGTGTTGTTGACTTGGGGTTCGAGGTTCGGTTTAGGATTTCGCCTTCCTGAGTCTGCGGACGCGTGTTTTCTGTTGGTTTCGATCGCGACATCTGAGTTTGGAGTTTTCCGAGCCTAAAGAACGGCTACGAGAACTGACAGAAAGTTGGCAAATCATGGTCGTGATACCAGTAAACAAAATACTGCATCACGTGCTACATTGTATTCATTGTGTTCTTTAATGCTTTGATACTGTATTCTACATGGTTGCACGACCCATTACATATTCGGCTGCGTTAGAAACTTTTATTGTTTTTTACATTTCATATCTTATGCTCTGGGACAAACTCCTGACGCGACTTTGGGTTTGCCATAGTAGGGCTTTGCGGGCATATCAGACGACTGAAGCCGAACATCCAAACCGCCTGTGTGCCTCTGCAGGCGCAGCGTACCCAGCGCCGAAATCTTCTAAAGCGGATCGATGCTTGGACTCCATTCAAACTGTAATTTGCTTGTGACTGCTGGCCCCTATAGCCCTAAACTCTAAAGCCTACTCGATCCATCAGAATCCATGACTTGTCACAAGTCGCTACGCATGTTTACGACTACACCTCGGCGGCCACCAAAGCGATCAAACCTTGGGTGGCAAAGGATCCCTTCCCAGAGACTCCAATACCCCTTAATTATGGAATATACCTTAAATCATATTAGGGACCCTACTATAATTTAAGGTATATTCCTTAATTAAGGGGTATTGGAGTCTCTGGGTTGGGCAACGCCCACAGCATCACTGCACGGAAGGGGTTAAACCTTCTGCAGGACGAGTGGCTCCAGACGCTCTCAACTATACCACAAACACAAGCAATTCAGCACGACGAAACAATCCTAGATGCACTTCCCACAAAAAGGGGTCAAGTCTGCACGTTTCACATGTGTGTCGATTTCACCCCATATTCAGAACAACACGGCACGAAAGCCGTCAAACCTTCATGCATCACAGGTGGCACCAAGCCCTTGTCATGGCACATACTTCATACCCCCTCCCCACCACCACAGCAAGACAGCCATGTTCTATTCCGGTCGCGCCGCGGCCCTTTCATCCTGTGCAGCTTGCCCGTTACCGTTTGAGCTTTTGAGGATTGGCCATGAGATAGAAATCAATGCGCAATGCAGTTCCTACGGCCGGCATAGCGGTCAGACATACGTATGCGGCGTAGACATTAACATGGTAAGTTCGTTGCTGCTCACAGGCGGCAGAGAGATTGGATCCCTCATGTTCCATCCAGTAACGTAGGAACCTGATTAAGAAACCCTGGCCCTATAACACCCTGAATAGTAGGATTTATATCAGGAGCCCTTATAAGTTAAAGGCTTTCTTAATCAGCTTCCCACATTAGGTCGGTGTGAGGTTAGTCATCTCACTCGACCTTTCAGTCGATTCTGCGACGACATCCAATTCCCGGTTCGAAACCATATGGGTGGTTGTCAGAATGAGTGGCCCTGTTTGGGTACCCTAAATATTAGTTGCCGCATTATAATAAGAACCCCAAAAGGGACCATAATTTTGGCAACCACCCATCTAGCATGGGCGGGCTCTACAACAGCAGCTTCCGAAAGCCCCTGGTCGTAGACCCATCAACCCTAAACCATAGCACCATCGCAGTATCCTGATCTATGGCAATCAGCTGGCTGCACTAGAAACAGCTCAAACCCCGAGCCCTAAACCCTTAACCCGTAACCCGTAATCGCTAAACCCCTAAGCCTAAACCCAAATCCTAAAACCCTAAAGCCCTGAACCCTCAACCCCTACACCCCAAAGCCCTGAGCATCCCTAAACCCCACCTTGACCTGCTAAACCCTACTTTTTTGTAGGTTCTTATTCTAAACCCTATTATTATCAGGTTTATAGGGACCCTACAAAAAAATGGGTTCTGGTAGGTTAAACCCTAAAGCCTGAACCCTAAACCCCTAAACCCCAAGCCCCACTTGGAGGATCGTGGGACTTAGTTTTTCAGCTTATAGGTACCTTAATTGGGGTTATAAGTAATATTATAAGCATTATTACCTTAATTATGACCCTAGTTACTAAGTCCCATGATCCTTTAAGCAAGCCCGAACGCTCCTCCCCGCGCTGTTCCAAGGAGATCCTTGAGTCCGAGATACGACCGAAGTGACTGCGGCCTCTGAGGGGAAAACAGGGGACCCAGAGAGTCCAAAACCCCTTAATTAAGGAATATACCTTAAATTATAATAGGATCCCTAATATGATTTAAGGAGTATTCCTGAATTAAGGGGTATTGGAGTCTCTGGGGAGTTTTGAGGGTTATTAGGGGTTTAGGGCTTTAGGGGTTTAGGGTGTAGGGTTTAGGGTGTTAGGGGTTTAAGGGGTCTAGGGGTATTAGGGTTTAGGTTCCGCTAAGGGTTCCTATTAGGACTACTGAAAGAGTTCTACACTTTTATGGTTCAATTTAGGGTGTAGGGGTTGCTCGGTTGCTATTGCCAAAGCCGACCAGCAGATGTAACGCAGCCCAATCCAGACAGGGGGGGGGGTTCTGAAAACAGAAGGTGCAGTGTTTTGGGTAAGCTGGCAAAAGCTTTTATTTTTCAAGCCCTAAGTGCCTTTACTTATTCACATGGCGGTTGGTTGCCTTTTAGGTCGCCTTGGCCTTGATGAGCTGTGACTGGCCAGCTCGTGGGGGCGTGACAGGTTGAAAGCGCTAGGTTGATTACGGAACCCTACATCCTAAACCCGAAGCAAAAGTCTGGTCAGGTCCCTAAACCCTTAAACACGTAAATCCTAAACCCTCAAACCGTATACCCTTGCACCCTAAACCCCTGAACCCCTAAAGTGTACACACCTTCGAAGAAGAATCTGGCCGCCAGGCATGTGAAAGCACATGCATCATTGCGCTGGCCTCAGGTTTTCAGGGTTTTGGGATTTAGGCTTTGAAGTTTGGGGGTTAGTGATTTCGGGTTTAGGGGTTTAGGGTTTAAAGTATTTGGGGTTTAGTGATTTAGGGTTTAGGGTTAAGGGATGTAGGGTTTAGGGATTTTTGGTCTTGGGTGAAGGGGTCCAAGCCTTATTCCCTTTTTGTAGTCCTAGGTTCAAAGTTACCCAATACCAAAAAGAGAGGCCTTTTTATTCTTAGGTTACTGGGTATCCTAGTATAGTAGGACCTTAATAGTAGCCCTATTATAGGCTCTTATCGCAAGGGGGCAGTACCTAAGGTTTATAGATTCATCTTCCAGAACCCGTAAACCTTAGCTTTCTTTTAGGAAACAGGAGAACCTACAGACAGCCTGAGGGTTTACCTACAGATCTTCAGTAACATTAGAGGATGCCGGCTTCTGCCCAACCACCTTAAACCCTAAGCCCTAAACCTCTAGGCCTACGCCTCCTTTCGAAACGATGAGTTGGGCGACGAAGATCTGGGTCGAACTTCATCAAGTTTGGGGTTTAGGGATAGGCATCATACATCCTGCATCGTCATCGTCAGCCTCAAGTCAAGCTGTCGAACAATCTGGACAAGCACTCGTCGCTGACAAGAAAAGATCGATCCTCACGCACCGATAGTTCCCTTCAAGTCCTTGTTCCTCTCGCCAAGGCAACTTTTCGCGACAATCCGCCCTCGCATCGTTGGGAACGGCACGCTCACCACGACAGGTGTAGGTGTTACGGTTCAGTTTCAGGTTGGTCTTGTATGTCGGCAGCAGCAGTAGCGATAGCCGTAACCGCACCCGTAGCAGTAGCAATACCATAGCCGTAGTAGTAGTAGCAGTAGTAGTAGTAGTAGTAGTAGTAGTAGCAGTAGTAGTAGTAGCAGCAGCAGCAGGAGCAGCAGTAGCAGTAGCAGTAGCAGTAGCAGTAGCAGTAGCAGTAGCAGTCGTCGTAATAGTAGTAGCAGTGGTAGTAGTAGTGGTAGTAGTGGTAGAAGTGGTAGTAGTGGTAGTAGTGGTAGTAGTGGTAGGGGTAGTGGTAGTGCTAGTGTTAGTGGGTAGTGATGGTGGTCGTAGTCGTAGCAGTAGTCGTAGTAGTTTTGGCAATATGGGTCGTCGTATTCATTAGTGTTAGTAGAGCTGCTGGTACCAGTAGTACTAGTAGTAGTAGTAGTAGTAGTAGTAGTAGTAGTAGTAGTAGTAGTAGTAGTAGTAGTAGTAGTAGTAGTAGTAGTAATAGTAGTAGTAGTAGTAGTAGTAGTAGTAGTAGTAGTAGTAGTAGTAGTAGTAGTCGTCGTTGTCGTCGTCGTCGTCGCAGTTTGGCAATATCGGTCGTGCTTTTCAGCTATGTTAGTAGAGCCGCTGGCACTAGTAGTCACAATAGTGTTTGTTAGCGTTAACTGTTAGAATAGCAGTGGTAGTGGTAGTTGTAGTGTTAGTTGTAATCGTAGGGGTAATAGTGGTTGTCGTAGTCGTGGGTGTCGCGAACATAGTGTTGTTCGTACTCGTAGGCGTCGTCGTCGCAGTAGTAGTAGCAGCAGAAGCAGCAGTAGTGCAGCTGCGGCAGCAACAGCAGCAGCGGCATTGGTAGGGGCCAGTGTTGGTGTGTTTGGCAGATGAGAAACTGTATTCTTGACCTCTGCCTCACTATCCATGAGATGTTGTCGCCTCCAGCTGATGCCTTCTTTTTTGAAGAATTATGCCACAGCTACGGCCCGGTGGAGGATCCAGCAACAGGGTCCTTGACCCGAAGGGAGCCCGAATGCCAACCTGCAACAGTTCACCTGGAACCCAGAATCGTGACTTCTTAAATATCGGGCACGGAAACTGGGTGAGAGGTCTTGTTGCTATTGCTGACGGGGGTTTCGAGTTGCAAGGCCCCCTGAGACAGGGAAAGGGTAGATTTCTCGTGTCTAGGTGTAAAGTTTTGAAGGATTAGAGCCCCGGGGTTCAGGAGAGTGGGCCCACACGGCAAAATGGAAGCTTGAATAATTGCTAATACTCTTCCTTTGACTTGCTTATTGTATGCATTTACAGTATAATATACCTTTTCCGAGCCGGTTTAAGGTCGCGGGGGTGGAGTAAGGTCTAGGTTTGTCCAGGGTATTTGGGAGTTTCCGAAAATTGGGGGACCTCATTTTGGGGTCCCTATAATAAGGATCCTACCATTTGGGGTACTAAATTAGGGTCCCCTATTTTCGGAAACCCCCTTTTTGGTTCAGTTCAACCCCTGCTTAGGTTCCACATCCCTCAGGCGAAAACCTTGACCCTTAACTCTGGACGCGCGTATAGGGTCCTTAAGGGAGTGTGCTTCAAGTGGGAGGTTACAAGGGATCCTGAAAGAACCTAAAGGGAACCTTAGGGAGCATCAGAGAGAACTACGGATTAGTAGGTTATCTCCCCCCCTAAACCCTAAACCCTAATCCCTGAACCCTAATCCCTAAAACCTAATCTCTAAACCCTAATCCCTACACCCTAAATCCTAAACCCTAATCCCTAAACCCTAATCCCTAAACCCTAGACGCGCTCCCAAGACGAAGCCCGATCAACCCTAAACTCCTAAACATCCGGGGCTCAGCCCTGTGTCCCGAAACCTAAACCTTAGAAGGGGCCCCCACCCTGTACTACGGCTGATGGACAGAATCCTGCATGACCCTAAGGACTCTAAACTATGGGATTTATGGTATATTCCTTATAGTGGGTAATGCAGGATTTTGTCCATCAGCCGTAGTGGTATAATAGGAATATAATAGGGCCCTAATATACTCCTTATAGTCACTATTACAGGGTGGGGGCCCCTTCTAACCTAAACCCTAAGCAGCCAATAGTCTCCTTAGGAAGTATGTATTTGTATTTTTTCATATAAAGCCCAAGAGAATACTAAACATATTGTTTTTCTTATTATTATGGTTCTAAAAGGGGTATGGCAAACCCCAAACCCTAAGTTCTAAACACTAAAGCTCAAAGTCTAAAGTTTGGACTTTAGGATCTAGGACCTATGGTTTGGGGTTTAGGGTCTAGGGATGTTTAGGGTTTAGGTTTCAGTCTAAATATCCCTGAACCTTACTAGATTAGTTGTAAGCCCTAAGCCTTAAACGCCCCAAAAGCGACAACAAACGAAGCGGAGCTTCGCTTGGGCCGAGAGGTTTCCCTGAAGCGTCGTACACCAGACGCCGGTGTCAGTCTGGGGAAAATATAACAAAATTCAGTTTTAGGGGTCGGGATACATACAAAATCAGCTTTACACATCTATATATATACATATATATATATATATATACACATACATACATACATACATACATACAGACAGACATACATACATATATACACATACATAAATATGTATATGCACATATATAGCATATATGTATATATATATATGTGTGTATCTGTCTATGTACATGCATATATATATATATATATATATACATACATATAAACATGTACACATTTACACATATGCATAGATACTTACATGCATGCACACACGCATCTTTTTTTCAATCCATCCATCCTTCCTTCCTTCCTTTCCATCCATACATACATCCGTACCTACAAACAAACAAACCAACATACATCCATACATACACACATACATGCATGCACGCATACATAAGTACATGTATTTCCTTAAAATCCCTGTCTAATTGTCTTTGAGGTATACCTCCCGGAGGCGAACTCTACTTAGCGGAAGACACGTAAGCCTGAACCCGAAACCCTAAGCCCCGATTCGATCCCTCGCAAGGCATTGCTGAGAGCCTTCGGGCTCACATGTTCAGGCATCTGGGGTTACTGTACAGGTCTTAGGGCCGTGAGCTAGGCGCCATAAACCCTAATTAGACGCCCCTACAGCCCGCAATCCTGAACCGGCCAATTTTTCTTGTATAGGTTGCTGTGTTTGTCTTGCTCGGTATCCTCAACCCCAAAGCCTGGGAGATTCAACAATGATTCGCGAAACTCTGTTTTTAGGGTTCCATGTTGTGGCAGTCGTGGTGATAGTATATAGTAGTTGTAGTAGTAGCAGTAGCAGTAGCAGTAGCAGTAGCAGCAGCAGCAGCAGCAGCAGTAGCAGTAGCAGTAGTAGTAGTAGTAGTAGTAGTAGTAGTAGCAGCAGAATAGAAGTAGTAGTAGTCGTGGTTCTGGTGGTGGTAGCAGCAGTCTTGCAGGTCGCGGCTCCATGCACCTGCACACTCCGTAATGTCTGAACCCTCAGCCTCAGCCTATAAAACCCATTTGAAAGTCCCTGGCTGGACACGAGTCGTGCTCGCTTTCGGCACGCGTCTCACGATTGAGTGGTGAGGTCCCTGCATGAAGGCCAAAGGGTTCCTACAGGCTTACTCTAACGGCGAACGTGCTATAAGTTATCGGGTGTACGAACTGAGGAGTTGTGGAGTGTACGGTTAAGGAGCTTGGTAAGGAATTGCGGGCTGTACCTTCACCCTGAATAACTTACCTTTTTAGGGTTCCCTATTATGACTTCTTTATACAAGTCCTTAAAAACATAGGTTCTTCGGGGTTAAGGTAGCGTTGAGGCGTGTAGGTGTCTGGGGTTCAGGCTTTTGTGGTGGAGTTGACTTAGGGATCAAGGCGACGGTGCCTGGGGCTTGGGAGTTTAGGGCTTTGGGGTAGGGGCTCAACATGGGGGCTTTCCGAGAATAGGGAACCCTAATATGGTACCCTACATGGTAGGATCCTTGTTATAAGGAGCTCAAATAAGGTACCCCCTATTTTCAGCAAATTTTCGGAAACTCCCACATAGGGGTCGGAGCAACTACCTTTTAGCCCCAATATGAGTATTCTGGGTTATAATTAAGGAGTTGAGGGCTTAGTATGCGACCCGGTGGGATTCAGATTTTAGGTTCAAGGGTTGTACCGGTCACAGGCATTCGTGGTGAGGGCTAAGTAAACTATACGCTCTGCAATGCCCAATGAGAAGCTGATGTCATTTTCAAGGGGACTGTCATAGTGCTTTTTTGTCTTGACCTAACAGAATCACTGGACAGTCCACAGACATGCAGGTGCTTTGCGACTGGACTGGCAAGGACTGCTCTCACGTAGTCTCGCCAGCAGGCCAGGCGTGAGGTCCGACTTGCTGGCGCGGGTAGAGTTAAAAGTTAAAAGTCATGTTGTTCGATTGGCGTCGACTTGCAGGCAAGTCATAGGGGTTTGATTTCCGCAGTTACAAGTAGATGTTTCATACCTGTACGCTGAACATTCGAGGCGTCATGGCAAGTACTTGATTAGTTTGCAAGGGAGCCTGGATGCTTCGCGTCGTGGCCGCAACTCCACTAGAATCCCGCAGAGGCGTAACGTGTGCTACAACATGCCGCCAAATCCTATGCCAAACATGTAGATTTAGATCCCTAGATTGTTGCTTCGACTACTTAGAGAGTCATGGGACTTAGTAACTGCTATAACTGTGTAAACACCCAACAGGATACTTGTAACCTTACTTACTAGGTCCCCTGATCCTCCAAGAACAGTAGAGATGTCCCAGGCAAGCTTTGCTGCATTTTGTTCATTTCAGCTTACAGTCCTTGCCGATGTCCAACTTGAGCGGCACAGCTGAAACATGGCCTACTCTGCAGCTGCAATACCATACGCGAGAAAAGGATTGGCAGGATAGCGTGGGTTCTCATGCAGGAACATTGTTTTTTAGGTATATAAACAGAAGTACTAGTGTTAGTAGTAGTCGTAGTAGTAGTAGTAGTAGTAGTAGCAGTAGCAGTAGCAGTAGCAGTAGCAGTAGCAGTAGCAGTAGCAGTAGCAGTAGCAGTAGCAGTAGTAGTTGTTGTTGTAGGAGGGTTTATGAAGCTTCAGGGTAGTCATCACCGTAGTTTTGGTAGTAGTAGCAGTAGTAGTAGTAGTAGTAGCAGCAGCAGTAGTAGTAGCAGTAGTAGTAGTAGCAGTAGTAGTAGTAGCAGATGTTAGTAGTTAGTATTTCGTAGCTAGTATGGTGGTGGCAACCAAAAAGTTGGTACCAGTATTGCTAGTACGACTGGTACAGTACTGCCTTGACTTTTGCCCGTGCCGTTAGTTACTCTGGTTTCACCAACAGGCCACAAACCACGAAGAGCTTGCTGCAAGGTTAAGGCTTAGGGAAAGGAGTTCAGGCTATGATGTAGGATGTAAGGTTCGGGGTTTGGGCTTTCGGGTTTGGGGACGTGGGGAACTGCGCCTTCACGGTGTGGGCTTTGTCTTCCGGACTCCGACAAAGATGGGTTCAAGGTTTCGGAGCTTGAAATCGCATGGGTTCAGGAGCCCAAACCCCAAAATCCTAGTGCAGGTTCATGATTTCGGAGTCGCGTTGTGTCATAACTTATGATCCCATTTGGGTGGTTGTCAAAATTATGGTCCCTTTTTGGGTCCTTATTATGATACGGCACCTAGTATTTAGGGTACCCCAAAAGGGACCCTAATTTTGATAATCACCCATTTAGAGGATCTGCCTGTTCCCTGGGTTGCCAAATAGGGGCGCCCGTACTTTGTAGCAGGCGCACAAACCAATAGTGGCTTCCGATTGGCTCGTCGAATATCGGGGTTCAGGCTATCAGACATAGTCGCAATGCATCCAAAGGTCGCTAGTCGAATACCAGCACGTGAGGTTCCAGCGACGTAAAGCCCACATTGTCTATTCGGACTTCACGGGCAAAGAAGTATGAGCATCTTACAAAGTAAAGTGCTCGAGTGGAAGCTGAAGTTTTCGTCGGAAAGCCCTGGACCCAAAACCCCGAACCCGAAAACGGCATTGTGACGGATCAGGCACCGAAGTCAATGCTGCACCTCAGCACAGCAGCTTTTCAACTTGGAATACCTGGCAGAGACAGCTGTCATGGCTCAGTGTGGATAGGGTTCCAGAACTTAGACAGTACACAAGCACGAATTTTCCACTTTTCCACCTCTAAAGGGGTACTCCGGTACAGAAAGATGATCTCCGAGGGTAGCTGGTAGTCTGCTTTGGGTAGTTTGTGGCAAAGCAGCAAGTTGATAGCCGAAGCTGATTGCTGGGCATTTCTCATACAAGGAGCAAAGAAACGTAACTCCTTCCCCTCTCACTCCGCAAATCCAGCTATGGAGAACTTGCCTTTGGCACCGGAGGTGGGGAGCTGATCTTCAGGTTGAGGATTTCGGGTTTTCGCTTCAGTTCCGGGTATATTACGGTACTTTGAAAGATCCCTTATAGTAGCCCTTATAGACCCCTTCAAAGGGAACCGTATTCTACTTATTAAGGCCCCAGTGTTTTCGCGAGCCCCGCAAGAAAGGTGTGCGCATGGTTGCAGAGCCCTCGGGCAAGTGCTGTGTCACGATGTCGTGTCGTTCGCACACACTGACTCAGACGTGAGCACCCAGAAATGAGTACAGTCAGTATCGGATCTCGGGCGCCTTGCATGAATTCAGATAGAGTGCCAGCGCAGCACTACCAAATGGGGTTGTGGTTGCATACACATACACCTATATGCAGAGTTATACATGCATACCTACATACCTACATACTTACATTACATACATAGATAGCAAGCACACATCCCCTACATATAGACATACATGCATATACGTTATATATAGATAGATAGATAGATAGATAGATAGATAGATATGTGTTATGTGTGTATATATATACACACATGTCGACATAGACATGAGAACCCTACTCATAATACATGTATGTTCCTATCTTATCTCTCTAACATACGCAGTCACTCACTTGTTGTTTACTTTCTCTCTCTCTCTCTATATATCTACCTCTCTGCCTTTCTCTCTCCCTCTCTCTCGCTCCCCATCGTTCTATCTATCTATACAGACAGATATGACACACATGTGTTTGTACATATGTTTGTAAACATATCTGCATGTATATGCAGACATGCATGCATGCATACAGACACATATACGCATGCATAGATAAGGGTGTATGCGTCGCCATGATATGTGAAGGAAGAAACATTTCTGAAGTTTCAATTTTTTGAACGAAAGAAGCACAAACTATTCCTCAAAGAGAGGAGCAGGCACAGCAAAAAAGGGGCAACACTTATGAGCAACCATATGTGAGTACTTGCTTACAGCTTGCATCTAATAAGAATACAAGTTCATATTGCCGTACATGTCTGTGTACATGCATGTGCCTGCTGTTGCTTAATTACTGGTTCATGTTTTCACGTACGTTTGCATGCAAGGACGCATGTATATAGAAACAAGACTGTTTGGGTTTGAGTCTAAGCCCTGGGCTTGTTCAAAAGGGTTGCGGGTTTAGGGTTTAGGGTAGCCGTAAGACTAGCAAACATCAAGGGCCGTTGCAAGCATAGGGACGAGAATCAGTCCCTCTAAACCCGAAAACCCTAAACCCCTAAGACCTACTTCTACTTCTCTTGGCCTGTAAACCCTGTCGTGGTAGCCCTAGGCTCACTGAAAAATCGTTTTGCTTAAAATCGTTTTACACTGTAAACCCTACAATCCTCACTATGGATAGTTATCTATATTAGGGTCCCCTTTTTGGGTCTTTGTGCAAGGGTGCCGCACTGTGTTAGGGGGCCTAAATATGGACCCGAATTTCCAGAACTACCTATATCTCTGTAGCCTAATAAACCCGAAGCCATGCAGAACCCTAGACTTAAACCCTAATAAAACCCTCAACCCTAGACCCTAATATGACCTTAAACTCCAAACCCTAACACGAGCAGCCACAGACGCTTAGAAGCTGAGTGGATACGCTTGACACTTTTTGGGATAATATTACCCACTATAACACTGAAAGTCTACTTTTTTGGGGGGCTTATGAACTCAGCAACTAAGAAACCCTGAACCCTAAACCCTGAAACCCCTAAACCTCTAAGCCCCCTAAGAACATCTCCCAGCCCAAAATATCCCGAAGCCTCCACTGCGCCAGGCCCTGCAGCCGCGTGCTGCGGTGCCGTGCAGCGCCCCACAAAGAGGAGGTCGCAGACTATACTTGGAGGTTCATGGGTAGTTATAAGTGCGGTTATAAGTCCCCTAATATGGGTTATAACTATAGTTACCCTACTTATAACCCCATTTCTTGGTGTTTAGGACGTTTAGGGATAATTATACGGTTTAGGGTTTAAGGTCTTAGGGACCCCAAACTCAAAAGGGGCATAAGCATATGGGATATCCCTATCTTTAGTTTTGCTGATGTGCCTTCTTGGGGCCCTACTTAAACGGACCTCATAGGACGTTGCTCTTAAAGGAACCCCTAAAAAAATCCTACGAACCCTAGTATACAGTAGAAGCCAGAAAGTTGGGATATCATTATCGTAACCCCTTTAAGGTAAATTGTAGGGGATCCTCATTAAACCATATTCCAACTTTCTGGAGTTCCCTTTAGGAGCCTTTGAAAGTCGGAGAATTCATTATCCTCATAGCCTTGAGGTCAAGCAGAAGGGAATCCCAGCACTCGTCATCATTTAACCAGGGTCCAACTTTCTGCGGTTCACTGTAAGTGGTTCAGGTCTAGAGAGTTTTGGCTAACAAAGGGATCCGAGTAGGTGGTATTTGCAGCTCCTTGTAGACCTTGTCGAACTGTAAGTATAGTTAACTATACCCCGCAGGTTTTGTTCTTTGTGTGAAGTCTGCATGCCCGGAGAATCTCAGCTTGTCAGGTGTGCTGCAGGGCTTTGTGCAGACTTCAGTGTTCACAAGATGCTTGGGGTCTCCGGCCGCCAACTCTACAGCCGGAGGAGAACCTGTAGGACCAAATGACCCTTAAAAGTAGGGGCCCTATACCTATGTACTATGAATCCCTATATGGTATATGAACCTTAAGCCCTTTTAGGTTTCGTTTCGTCCTTAAGGAACCGAGCAAACATGAAATCCACCATCATCCCAGCTCGAACGGATTAGAGCGAAGGCTTTCGGGAAAGCCCAACGGTTTAGGGTTTCGGGGTTTAGGGTTTAGGGTCTACCCTAACCCTGAATAACCTACCTTTTTAGGGTTCCTTATTCTGTTTTTTTTTTTATATAAGTCCTTAAAAATGTAGTTTTTTCGGGGTTAAACCCTAAACCCTAAACCCCTAAACCTTAAACCCTAAGGTAGGGCTTATCAAAGAACTCTGATGCCTCGGCATTGCGCTTCTCCGAGATGGCCAAGATCTCCTGGCACATTGCCGAACCCAGCCTTGTCCTTTTTCATGGTTCCCCCAAAAGAATAAACAGACCGGCTAGTAGACCTTTTTAAATAATTCCTACTAAGGGATATAGGTATAGGGCTCTGTCTATTATTTCTAAAAGGACATGGGTGGCCGAAGCTGCCGAAGGAACCGGGAACCGAAAACGCTCTTCTGCAAGGGTTCTTAGGGGTTTAGGGTTTACGGTTCTTAGGGGCTTAGGGTTTAGGGTTCTTAGGGGTTTAGGGTTCAGGAGTTTAGAGGTTCAGGGTTTTTAGGGTTTAGGATTCTGCATCAGAGTATTTGGCGGCTTGATCGCACCGCCTTTCCCGACAAGTGCATGTTTCCGATAGATTCGTGTTCCGCCCTCAAGTCATGTCCAGCCAACACGCCCCTTTTGGATCCTCATTATAGTACGGCACCTAATATTTAGGGTACCCAATAAGGGACCTTAATTTTGACAACTGCCCAAATGCCAGGGACGGCAGCACCGCTACAATTGGATGGCTTGGCATCGCAGGCACCTTGGAGCTGTGCCGTGCAACATACTGTTGATGATATAAATCCTAAGATTCCTTTATAAAGATCTGTAAGGGTTCCTTCAAGGGATCTATTGGGTTTTAGGGTTTAGGGTGATGATATAAATTATGCCATTACCTTAAGGGCCCTAAACTATGGAAATTATGGTATATTCCTTATTATGGCTAATGCAGGATTTAGATCATCAACCATAGGGAGTAGGGTTTAGGGTTCAGCGAACTGTACCTAAACGACCTGGCCCCTATCCATGACAGCGCCATGACTGATGCCGCGATTGCTTGACAGTTACAGGGCATCTCCAAGGTGCCTTATAGAGGGGAAGGAGGCAGTGTGGGAGGGTGGGTTGGGGGGGGGGGGGAATGCCAACAAATGCTAAACCCCTACTCCCTAAACCCTAAGCCCTCCCACCTACACCCTTTCAGCTTCCACAGCCCAGCCCCGTACCCCGACCTACCGTGCCAGGCCATAGGGCTTGACCGGGTTTTTCTCCGACTTAAAACTCATGCCCCACCCTGAAGGGATGTCGAAGAGACTGAGGCATCTGCTTTTGTTTGACTGATGGAGTTTCGGAGAGACTAAGACAGCAGTCTGATGGAGTTTCTGAAAGATCGCGCAGGCGTGGCATGTTGCCATGAAGCTGCCCAATCCCCTGCTACACCTCAAACATCCTGAACTCTTGCAGCTTAGGGTTTAGAGTGTGGGGTCGAAGTCTCTAAGGCTGGGTGAAGTTGTACAAGCAGGAGATTTCGTGATACTAGACGCGGAGGATGAGCTTTTGATGCGACCCTTTTGAAAACTGACCACATGTGGTTGCCAGTGTCTTGTGTGGTTTGCTGGGCGGGTTTCCGGAAGGCAAAGCAAGGCTTCGACTTCAGGTGTGGTGTAGCTATGGCTTGTCACACGTATGTAAACCCCACAGTGAAGTTCAGGATCTAGGGACTTCTTTTACAGAGCGCCCTGAACTGTGAATCCTAACCTTGTATCTTAGACTGTTAAACCCTAAGCTGTGAATCCTGAACCTTACCTAAACTCAACGCTTCGGATTTTGAGTGTAGGCCACTTGGGTTCAGGTTGTGAGGGATGAAGCATTAGAACTGCCCAGAACCTCCAAAACCCCTTAATTCAGGAATATACCTTAAATCATATTAGGGCTCCTAATATAAATTAAGGTATATTCCTTAATTAAGGGGTTTGGAGTCTCTGGGTGGAAGTCTCAGCTGATCAGACTCATGAGCAACTGGTCAGGTTGCATTGTGTACCGGCGCCTTTCTACTGGGAAGAGGCCAGGCATATGCAGCCATAACCCTACTTGGAGGATCATGGGACTTAGTAAGTATGGTTATGAGTACCTTAATTGGGGTTATAAGTAGTTATAAGTATAGTTACCCTAATTGATGAAATACGTCGGCATGTGCAGTTGTCTGAGAAGGGGCTTGGCAAGTGCTATGCTCCGGAATGCTTTTGGGCCCTGTAGGGAAGGCTACGGGGAAAGCCCTTGAGTCTTGAGTCGTGTAAAGAAGTCCTGCATACTACGATAGGTCAAGGCCATTCGAGCAGGCATGTACTGAAGTAGCTTAGCATGATAGATCAACTTTTGTACACCCTCAGATCTCATGCAAAGCTTTCGAGACAAGCAGCTTGCGACTTTGTTGTTTGGTCGAAAAACAGTTAGCATTGCGAAGTCGGGGTAGCCATGGATGGTCCTTTGACATCAGCGGCTGTAAAACCTGACTTTCAGGTTATGAGTGCCCAATCTGCAGATGATGGTGCAAGGGCTCCGTTGAGCAACGGTGTTGCCGCTGGGACTTCCTATGGAACGGAAGTGGAGGCGGAAACCGCAGCCCGAGGCTCGGGTCCAGTGCAACCCACTGGATCGGAGATAGGGCAAGAGGCCGGTCGTGGAGGAGGAAACGAAGGCGGGGACGCACTCGGTGCGCAGACCTTGCCGGCAGCTTCTACTGCGTCGGCATCCGGAGTCATGAGAGAAGGGAGGCGTGCGGATGCATCTGCTACGGACTTCGTTGAGCAGGGACCAGAGACTCGTGCAGACACTACTGGCCAAGCTGGTACAAGCAGAGGTGGGTCAGCTGCTCAAGGAGCTGATGTGCAGAGCGGAGCGTCTCTTCCGGAGTGGAGCGATAGTGTAGGAGCGAGGGACTTTCACACTCCAAGATCGTCAAGGTCGTTTGGTCCTGGAGTGAGCTTTTCTCGCCCTGGAATTCAGGGGCAGTTGCCTGGATGGGTGACCAAGATAGGCGAGTTCTTCAAGGCACCCGCCGTACAGTGGTTGCCAAGCCCGATGCCTTCTCCGCCGAGACCTAGGCTGCTGTATATGGGTGCAGTTGATCGTTCTGGGGATGGTTCTGGTGTTCCTCATGAGGCTACGACTGGAAATCTTCAGGAGAGCGGGTTCAGGGTGTATGGTCGTTCGGTTCCCCCTACCCAACAAACCCCAAGCAGCAGCAGCATACCGGCAGAAGCAATACAAGCTGAAGTACAACGACAGCTAGGCGGCCTCCTTGAAAGACTTCAGGTTGCAGAAGGGGAAAATCTCCGCCTACAGGAACAGCTTGAAAGGGCACACCAGGAGGCCCAAGATCGGCGAGTTCGTGAAGTCGCTGAGGCCGAAGAAGCTTTAAGAGGGCATCCCAGTGATCCTCCTCCCGTTGGTAGGTCTGATAGCGTACCTCATCGTGATCCTGAAGACCGTCCAGAACCTCGCCCGGATCCCTGGCGTGATCCGCTAGGTGCATTGTGGGAAGAGCTCCAATCTCGGAGGACGGGGCCTACAGCTACGGAAGCTCGGACACACAGGGTGGATCAGCCTACTGCAGTGAACGATGTGAGGAATGCGGGTGAGGGTTCGAACGCCGCCATCCTAGAAGCTCTGACTAGGAATCTCACCAGCTTGCAGGAGCTCCAGGTGAAGTCGATGAAACGGGAGTTGGATGGAGAGGAATCTCCAGAGCAGGTGAAGACGAGTACGGTGAGTTTGCCGATTCTACCTGGACCCGAGGTGGCGAATGCAGGTATGGTTCTTCAGGACTGGATGGCCCAGGTTGCTGTGCCAATGCAAGATCTGTCTACGTCCTCAGGTGCGTGGTGGACCGGTGTAGTTGCTCTGGTTCGGGATGCGTACTCTAAGTGGTTGGCGGCTACACCTTTGGAAAGGTTACAGTTGGAGCCAAGCGGGCATGAGACATGGACCAGTGCCAAGTGGACCCGCGTGAACTCGAGGGCCTGTTCGTTGATTTTACAGAGCATCGTTGAAACAGTGAGACTGGACCTTGTTGCTCGACGTGCGGTTCAAAGTGCCCCGTTGATATTGTTCAGGCTCCACACGTGCTACCAACCGGGAGGCGCGTCTGAGCGCTCAGCTGTGCTGGGGAACTTGCAAAACCCAGTGCAGCCATCGTCACTGGAGGAAGCTTTGATCTGGCTAAGGTCATGGCCGAGGTGGGTTCAACGGTGCAAGGACCTTAACATGATCATCCCGGATGGCACGATCTTGGCCAAGGCGCTTACGTCCACTACGATGAAGTACATGATGGAGAATCCGGATACCCACTTCCGGACGCAGCTCCTGAGGTCTAGTCTCAGGATTGATGGACAGCCAGCCTTTGCGGATGTTGTCAAGTATCATCAGCACCTTCAAGCAGAAGTGGAGTCAATGTTGGCATCAAGGACGGTGGTGCAGGTGGCTACTCCTACAATTAAGACTCTGGGGACGGGTTCGGGATCGCCTACAACCTCAACGACCCCTACTACCAAGCCGCCTTGCAAATATTTCCTGAAGCCCAACGGCTGCCGGCGTGGCCAACGCTGTCCGTACCCTCATGACCTCAGTGGGTTGAGTAAGTTGGAGAGATCCCGAAAGTGCCTTACCTGTGGAAGCGAAGAGCACAGACATAGAGATTGCCCAACAAAGACGGCTAAGCCAAGTACGAGGACGCCAACGGGCCAACAGAACTACCAAGGAGGAGCACCATCGCCTACTACCTCGTCCCCCACTGGAGCACCTAAGGTTCACCATGTGGAGCCGGAGGGAGAGAGTTCGCCTTCTTCAGCCACTCAGGTGATCACTGGGGAGCCGGTGTGGACGCTGGAGAGTTTGCTCCAAGCTGCAGCCAAGGTCGCTGGCGCACCGCCAGCAGGACCAAAGCCGCCGTCTATGAATGTGTTGGCGCTGAAGAAATCTTCCTCAAGTGATGACGAGCTCTCGATGTTTGCGTTGGTTGACTCAGGTGCTACACATGCCTTACGCCGGGCCAACACCCAGGAGGAGTGGAATGACGCAGAGCCAGTGACGGTGAACTTGGCGGGTGGTGAGTCAGTGGGCCTGAGAATGAACACAGCGGGCACAATATTGGTGCCAGTGTCCTCCTTGACTTCGGCGGGGTCTACTACTCCCATAGTGCCACTAGGGGCGTTGGTGAGCCAGCTGGGGTACACTATGATATGGGGAAAGTCGAAGTGCAGGCTTGAAGGCAGAAATGGTGAGCAGATCACCCTACGTGTTCGTGAAGGGTGTCCTGAGGTGACGGAGCATGAGGCGTTGAAGTTGATTTCGCAGCTGGAAGATGCTCGGTTGCAAGAGCTCCGCAACAACACGACGGACACGAGAACAAGGGTGAAAGCGGCTGCTTTGGCAATGGAGAAGACGTGGTTTGATCATCTCCTGACCTATGTGGACAGCGGGCTGGCTTCGGAGGCGATGAAAGCGGTGGAAGGGGCTCCCTTTCTCCAAGAAGTCCCACGGCCATGCAAGGCTGGGCTGTGTGACGCGTTCCCGGAGGCGAATGGGTGGCAAGCACTGAAGGGCCTTGAGCACTTGAACCGGAGAACGAGGAAGAAGTTGTGGTCCTCGAATCAGTGGGTGGTGCACTTGTTCTCGGGAAAGAAGGAGAAGCGTGACCTATATCATCTCGAGGGTCATGGATATGCCGTTTTGGAGCTGGATATCGAGCGTGGGCGATCGCAAGATCTACTGAGGTCTCCTACGTGGCGGGCTCTTGAGTATGGGGCCAGAAAGGGCAAGATCGCGGCAATAGTCGGCGGCCCCCCCCAGGGCACCTTCATGATCTCCAGGCACATTGTGGGTGGACCAGCACCTGTGCGCTCGAACGATTACCCGTTCGGAAACTGGGATGGTCAATCAGACTCAGATGTTTGGGAAGTCAATCGAGAGACGCAGTTGCTGACCAGGATGATATACTTGCATGCTCTGTCATCTGCGGGAAGGATAAGATCGGGTCCTACTCCGGAGTTTCGTCGTGAAGTGGCATTCTTGTTGGAGCACCCTCGTGATCCCCGCGGCTTTCTGAAGTTCCAAGATCCACTGTATCCCGATGTAGTTAGCTTCTGGAGGACTTCGCTGTGGACGGAGTACGCAATGGAGGCAGGCCTCAGCACTCAATGCTTCGACATGGCGGCACTGGGAAAGGCTTTTCCGAGACACACAACCATAGGCACCAACCTCGCCCTTCGGCACCTGAATGGCTTGAGGATGCGGTGGCACACAGATGGACCTGCGCCAGAAAGGTCGCCAGCATGTGTGTGGCCTACGGAGTTTATCGAGCATGTGGTGATTGCGTTGAGGGAGTGGGCCAAGGTTCCTAGAATGTTAAAGATGAGTGCAGACCAGTGGCGTGAGCATGTACGACGAGGCCATCTTCCTTTCCGAGCTGATTGTGCTGTGTGTGTACAGGCTGGAGCCACAGGCCGTCGACACTCACGCGTAGAGCACCCCTCAGCCTTTGTTCTCTCAGCCGACCTCTCGGGGCCTGTGAAGGTGGGAGGCGCTGATCCGGATGGCCGGGGAGCTTACCCGAAGCAGTTCAAGTATATCTTCGCGGCCAAGTTGAGGGTTCCTCGGAGCTTCGTGGAGGATGGCCGTGGAGCGTGGGTGGACTATGATCCGGGCGAGCTTGCGGTAGAGGCCTACGAAGAAAAGGACGATGGGCTTGAGAGCGAGATCGGGGAGCGAAGGGTGCCAGGTGAGCGCGGTGAGCGCTCCGATGAAGATGGCGTTGAAGGAGAGCCGGAGCTGAAAGAAGTTCCAAGGCGAGATCATGAGGAGGACTCAGACCTTGCAGGGCCGGAGCTAGTGAACCTCATCTTCTCTTGCGGCCTCAAAGATGACAAGTCGGCCACAGTCCTTGAGGCGATCCAGGATGTGGTGCTCTATTGCAAGGCGCTGAACATCCCGGTGCTTCGCTTTCATACTGATCGGGGCATGGAGTTCCGAGCACGAGCGACCCGCCAGTGGCTAAAGAGCGAGGGCATACGAGTGACCACTTCTGAAGCCGGAGTTCATCAAACTAATGGTGCCGCGGAGTCGACTATTAGGTGGCTTAAGCAGCGGGCAAGGACATTGTTGTTGTCTGCGGGCTTGCCACAACACCTATGGGCATCGGCTATCAGTACGGCGGCTTCAATGCAGCGTGGCGATGTACTGGGATTCGAGCCGAATCTCGCGGCCCCGTATGGTGCCAAAGTGATGGTCCGGAAGAGACAACTGGAAGGTCCAAAGCTCGATGACTTAGCGCCAAAATGGGTCTCGGGAGTCTATGTGGGGTTGTCGGACAGCTTGAGCAAGGGCCACTTGGTGTATGTTAAGGATGATGACGGTGAGCGGTTTATCCACACTCTTCATGTCCGTGCTGGATTACACGATCCCGGACCAGTTGATGGTGAATTTCATTCGGAGTTTCCTGATCCACCGGAGCGCCGAGTTCGAGGGAAGTCAGCGGGATCTGGAGATGTTGTTGGAGTGGCCAAGGCGGAAGTGATCGATGATTCGGTTCTCAAGCAGAGGGCTGAAGCCTTGTTTCAGGACTGGTCTCAGGAGGAGGCGGAATCCTTAGTGAAGGAAGTGGCTCGGGTGCTGCCTGAGGACGAGAAGATCTATGGGATGTTTCGTCATGGAGGAAGGCTGGGAGTTACCAGAGCAGCAGTTGAGAGGCCGTGGTTCGCCAAGCTGTTGGCCAAGCTGTACAAGGTTCGATCTCCAGATGCAGAGTTTGCGGCCGTGTACGTCTCAGTAAATGCTGAGCGCGAGGTGCACATTGACAAGAACAACGCCATAGGGGCTGTGAACCATATCCTTCCCTTGAGCATGCCAAAAAGGGGCGGCGAGCTGTGGATGGAATTGCGTAATGGTGATGTGGTTTCAGGAAAGGTGATTGAGCTGATTTCTGCAGAAGGGAGAGCCAGATATGGATGTGCTTTTCCGCTTCAAGAAGGCAATGTTTTCACCTTTGACCCGCACCGACGACATGCAGTTCTTCCGTGGAAGGGAGAAAGAATTGCAGTGGTAGGATACACGCCAGGACTCCTAGGTTCTCTTCCCAGTCAGGACAAGGAAATGCTATGGGATTGGGGTTTTCCACTCCCGTTGGATGATGGTGACGCTTTGCCGGAGGTGTACATCAATGCATTGTCGGTGTCTTCGGTGAAGCAAGCGTTGTCGGTGTCTTCGGTGAAGCAAGAGAAGCGGGTTCAGGAGGAGGTTGTTCCGCTTAGAGAAGGAGGGTGGCAAGAGGTAATTGAGACTTCAGATGGAGAGTACCTCTTCAAGTGTGAGTGGGCGATCGCCAGGCGATCCAGTGACTCGACGACTTCGGCTTCTGTTATGGCGCTTTCCCCGAGGCTCCAATGTAGGCAAATGGGGCTTACATTGGCCAAAGACGGCCCTCAGAGCAACATAGGAGCTCATAGGGCCAAAGTAGGCCCACAGAACAACATTCGAACACGACAGTTTCTATCAGATCTGGTGCGTCAGATCAGGAAGTCCGGATATCAGCCCTGATGATACAAAACGTCTTCACGATATAAAAATCGGAACTTCACGTAGCTACTTCTGTACAAATGGCTCATCCGAGCTGCATTTCTTGTCGAATCATGAGACAATCATCTCTTCGGAGCTGTATCATGATCACATAAAACATATCAGTCACGTATATATGTCTAGAATTATATGCTACATGTGTAAAGTTGTATACGTATGTGTAAACACATTTGTGTATAGATCTGTACGTGTACATGTGTGCTTGCGCGCCCCTTCGTGTTTTGCCAGTGCATGCGTGCAACGTTCAAACATTTGGGTGCTTCCATTCAAGGCTTCAGGTGTTAAGGGTTCTTAAGGGTGAGGTCTGCCCGGTCTGCATGACGGTTTGGGGCCAAAACTTGGTTTTTCGGGCTTATAATCAAGGATTTGCTACAATCTGGGGTGCAAGTGTGATGCCTAGCTGCCTAGCTAGGGCTTACGAGGGTATAGTCTATATATAGGGCTTGCTGAGGATTCGTAGGGTCGTTTCCGGGTTTATAAGATACATATACATATACATATATCGCTATGTGGAATTGGGGCCAAGAGGTACTAAACTCAGCGCCCTCATCATCATACTCCCTCATCATCACCAACAACAGTTTTCAAACAGTTGTGTTAGATACAATAATTACATTTCTGCTGCAGGATAGGCCTGGAATAAAACAATCGAAGCAACGTATGTCTACATTACCAGGTACAGGCCCCGACTCCCAAGACTTACGCAAGAAGAACCTGTCTCAAGCAAAACCTAAACACTCAAGAACACCCTGTACACCCAAAACACGTTTTTTTGTTGTGAGGTTTGGGGCGTAGGGCGTTACAGGGTCGAGTCCTGTATAGCGCTTGATGATTCAGGGGCATGGTCGGGTAATTAGAGTGCTTCTGGGGTTCAGTTTTTGGCTTAGGACGGCTATAATATGCGTATAATAGATGATACTTTTAAACAAGTCTCACTCTAGAACTCTTTCTAAACATTGGGTTTTACGGCCAAGAGGGGTTTTAGGATTTGAAACGAAGTGAACCTTGTATCGAGTTTGAAGTTTGAAACGTTCCTGCCGAGAAACGAAATTCTCCCAGAACCCTCGAAACCGGTACTGCAACTATTAACCATATACACGACGTCCTAGTAAATATTCTATTCAGATTCAATTTATGTTTAAAGTCGATGCCGCAATGGGCAATGTTTCATGGTCCATGCCTTCGGATTTAAACTGCTTTGTGTTTAAATTTTCAGATGCGACATCCTCCCATCATACTCATCCTCAGAGGCCTACGCTCAACACCGGAACCCCCTACAGCCAAGACTAAATCAAAAGCCTCAAAAAGCATATTTCCGGATGCGCCCGAGACCCTAGAAAAGGACGTCTCACTGCAACCTGTAGCATGTAAAAAACACTTAACACCGGCAGCTCCAAGCATCCTTAAGCAAATTCCAAAACGGACATTTTCGTGGCAACAACTTACATGATAGAACCAATAGTGATCTCTCCAATCTAGCATGCACTACTCGAAAGTCGCCCTCTGTGAGGAACCCCGTAAACACCCTCAGCCTTAAACTTTGCTCTGAAATTTGTGACTGGGATTCGAAAAACAACGGGTTCCGGAATATCCACCTAAAGCCTCAAGACCTGCGCCCTATCCCGAACTTTCAGACAAGGATCCGAGAAACAGAATCCTCCCGAGTACAATCCAAACCCCAGAGCTTGATCATGTGAACTTTAAGCCGCAGACTAAAGCCGTCCTCATGTACTAAACCCAGGCCTAAACCTTAGACCCTAAACCTGAAGCCCTCATGGTAAACATTCAAAAATTTATGCATGAATTGCACGGCTTTCTATGCGTAACATCGTGTGCCAACTCTTCCGGCCAAATCCCTGACGCTCTATCTACGTTTGGTGTTGCTGGTCCGCCTCACAAAGAACCAGCTTCTTGCAACCACAATGTCAAATGTAAGCGTAATTTCTTATGCTGGTGGGTATCATCGAGCACTACGTGCCGTTTGCGTGTTTGCTCATTTGGTCGTGTGAACTAAGTATACAAAAGCCATCTCCTGATGCAGTTCAAGGTCTGCTGTTTTCACACCCTACATGCCAGCGCATGCTGAGCTGCGGAACCAATAGGTTATCGCTCCGTTGTTGTTTTCACGCAGCAGACAACAGTACATACAACAACATGTATATAATGTATGTGTATGCACTGACTGTTATTTCTATCTGCAGCTATGTCGTGCATTATAATGTATACACACACACATCATGGTCGTCTTACGTGTCTCGATCGCTGTCCCTCTCCGGCCTTACCTGCGCATTAACACTTAGACCATGCCCTACATGCAATGACTTGATAGATGACGATACTCAACATTTAGCACTACACCTGCAGATGCTTACATGTGCACAGAAACTGCGGAATGAAAACCAGCGAAAGCCAGGTACTGCAAGTCGCGACTTGAAGCGGTTGCTCATGTTGATTAACGTAAACCTACAACATAAGCACACAAGTGGATTGTGGTAGCAGATGCAGATCATCACAAGACTGTACATTTTGATCCACGAAGGGCGCATCTGTGCATAAAAGTATGTACACGCGTGCGGCACTGCATTTATACCAACATATATATATATATATATATACATATAGAGGGTGTGAGAGAAAGGGTGTGTGTGTGTGTGTGTTGGAAATGGAAGACACCCGGGTATGGCCGAACGCGCATGTTTCTGACCGACGTGCCGGAACGTACGGAGCAGGCAGCTAAAGCCCAATCGAAAAGCCACAACACATGAACAGAAGACACTATAGCATAGAGCAGTCGGCATTCTGCAATAGACCGTGAGCAATTTCAGATAGCAGCAAACACCAAGCTGGAAACAAGGTGTCCAAGACCTAACAGAAAGCCCGTATGTTAACAGAAGCAATCATGCACTAGCAGCTGGAACTTGATATAATCTGCGGATCGAAGTCATTGAGTCTTGATCGTTTTCTTCTGGGTTGGCATGGGGTATATTTGCGGCAATTTGTCGATTATTTATTTTTCCGTGTTGAGAATGTTGCACAAACTCAACTCTAAATATGAACACGATGTCTCAAAATCGCAACATCGGGACGGCCACCACTCTCGTAAAGCATGTGCCATTGCTGACCTGAGCACTGCACACGGAAAAATACTGAAACCTAGCACGCTGTCCAAGACTTTTCGTAACTTTTGGCTTCTTAGGGTGCTACGGAAGGTCAGTTTCAAAGGCACTCCGGCCAACAGACCCCAAAATCCGCCTAAAGGAACCCCGAAATCCAGTGCAGCGCCTAACAGGTGTCTGAAACCCTCCCGCGTGATGCCCCGCAACGACGAGGACCAACGTACTTTTAGACATTTGACCACCATCGCAACGCTCCGGAACGCGAAAAGCGGGCGGAAGCAAGATTCGGTTCCTGCGAAACGCCCCGAAACCTCGCACGTCACGCCGCGTCACGCTGTGTCACGCCCTTTTCCGCCAATGTCGCCCCCAGGGCCCTACATTGATAGAAAACCGAGCTCCCGCGTCACGCCGCGTCACGGTCTGTCACGCCCCGCTGTGGGGCCTGGGTAGAAGCTTTTGCTGAATTCTGAACGACCTTAGGATTTTGAAAGGCGCTTGAAGGTGGCTATCAAGGTGTTCAACCTTGGAAATCCGATGCAAATTGAAGTTGTTTAGCGTTTTCAAGCGTAGATCCAGGAGAAATCCCACGCTTTTGAGGGCTTCTATGGAATTTGGCCATGGAATTCAAGGCTTTGGGAGTGTATTATGCTGTCTTTGCACGAAAATCAGAAGGAAGCACGGGTTTGAGGTCCGCGTTAGGCGTTTTGTTCAGGCAAATCCGATGATATTCGGCTTTAGGATAGTCAGGGCTCCTTCAATGGAAATGCGGAGCCTTGTAAATGTATTCACAGTTTAGTTTAGGTCGCGGAGGTTCTGCAGGGGTCCTGTTCTTCGATTCGACATTTCTTGCTGCATCGAGTGTGGCGGCCAACAGCTTGGTAATTCATGATATTGCAATAGTCTTGAATACAGCAATCCTGGAGTTGCATGCATTTCCCTGTAGAGGAAACCGGTTTTAGCTGTTGCTTGGGTGCTGTTGGTGTGCCTTTTGTTGCTTGGCCGTTGAAAATTCAATGTGTTTGTTTATATCGTGGATGTTGTGGTGTTCTGCGGCCTGCCTAGTTACTAGTCGTGTCCATGAGGTTGCTTGCTTTCTGCACTCGGCATGGCATTGTCTCCGATCGATCTTAGTTTGTACCTGTGCTCTGCATGTCTCGGGCTCGAAACTCAACGCACGGTAGACATGGTTTAATCTGATGGCTGTGTTTCCAGCATGAATTGTATAGTATAAGAATGTATAAGATGTACGTGTATTCGAACATAGTATCATGTTGAACTCAGAACGTATACAGTAGTTGGCATCTGCTGCTGCTCATGCTCTGCAATTTGGAAGACTGTTGGGTGTAAGGGTTGATAATTGGCACGCTGGAGTTCGCATCTGGTATTTTTATAAACCTTAATTTAGTAACGCTATTTCCTGTGAACATACTATATGCAAGTAACTAATTACGAAGCACTGAACAATGGTCAGCAGGTACATAACAATGCCATGTGAGGATGAAGTATTGCACACATGTAACATGAAGCCGAAGCAGGCCTATGTACACTAGTTGTGCACTCATTGAACTCACTGCACACATACGTACCAACAGGCAAGCGCACACACACAAACATACACATACACGTATACATACACATACACACAGAGCCTTGCGTGTGCGTTTTCTTTACATGAGCTTGTAAATGTATGCATGCATGCATGCTTGCATGCATGTATGTATCTCTGTATGCATGTATAGCATATTGCATATATGTTTATGTACACATAAAGAGAGAGAGGGAAAGACAGAGGGAGTGAGAGAGATCTATACATAGACACAAAGAGAGAAAGGGGTATCTAAAGAGCACAAAGTTACGTCATAATATGGTTGCATGTAGGCATGTTGGATATGATGATGGCATACGGCAAACGCATTAAAGCAGTAAGACACGGTACGTGATAACATGTGACGAGAAGTCTCAGGATGCCGCGGCATACGGTTATTGGGAAACACGCAACCATCTGCATACCATTTGCGACACTGCGTCAACTTGTCAAGTTCTGCTATGGAGCGGGTCGAAACCGGTAAGGCCCAACTTCACGACAGATGCAGGCGATTTTCAGGCATCGCAAACACATTTTTCTCTCGGTGGACAGAAAAACCCAAAACAGGAGGAAATGCAGCACTCGTACGAACAATTTGCGAACAAAGGTGGCTTGGTGGCATCGGGCTGGGGAAAAGAACATCAATTTTGAACATCTGTTTGGTCTAACGAGTGACAGCAGCTGTCGAGCCTTTGTTTGTGTGTCTATACAGATAATTCTTCCAAACGTATGTGTGTAATTACATCTGTATGTTTGTCATGTATGTGTTTATGACGGATGGATGGATGAATGAATGGATGGATGGATGGAGCGAAGGATGGACGAATGGATGGATGGATGTGCTTTTGCAGAAAGACTTGTGTATCCTAATGTTGGACATACCTGTGGCAAAAAATGGCCAGCGGCCCTCCGGCGAGTTGCAACAACAGAAGACTGGCCAGCGGCGGAACAGTCAAATCTAAAATGAGCGCGGAGCAGCAAACGTTGAAGATTGAAACATAAAAAGATATATCGGGTATAACAAATGCTTCACCTGAACTTTCGCAGACCATCTTATAAAGCCTTTCAAGGTTTCGGGATTGGCAGCGCTCTTAAAACGAAGCATGTAACGGGTAAATGCTCTAGGCCTTAACATGGTGCCGGCTGGCACGCCCCCAAATCCCGAAAAGTCGATAAATGGCACTGCATGCCGATCACAGAACTCTGAGGACATGGAGTGGCAAACCCTATGCTTGAATTGATGTAAAACTTTTGCTCTCTTCTAAAACAGGAACCCTGTGAGTTGAAGAAAACCTCAGCCTGGAATAGCCCACCCTAAACTCAGCGAGAAATGCCAAGACTACACATTCACTTACACGATACTAAACCTGACAACGGCTGGAAGTTGCAACACCAAACCCATAGGGGGAAGGAAAACCCAACAGCATCAAAGCGCTGGATATCGCAAAGCTTCAAGTTTAATCATACCATATGAAGTACAGCTTTGCACGGCGAACCTTATCGCTCATGAGGGGAATGCGCAGTCAACGGTTGATACCGTGAGATTTTAGAACCCGTTATAACACTCGCAAATAGCGACTTTTACGGTTGGAGCATGCTGCGGGATCAACCTTAATTCGCCACGTTCCTCCGGCCGACCAACCAAGCTAAACAGGATAGTAACACAATCCACACCAGGAGCATTGATTTCCAATCCATGAACAACGCTCAGGTTCCGTGTACACTTGGACTGTAAGAAGTTTCGAGTATGCAGTACGTCGTAGGTATGCACGTAACGACGTATGTATGTATGTATGTATAGGTACAAAACATAAAAAAACTATATGCCGACAGATACATAAGTTTCCTTGTGGCAACGCGGACCAAATTGTCAAGCTTGTTGTTGACTGCATCTTGCCGTCCATGCTACAGCCGAATTCCTGCTAGGTATTTTGTGTTGTTTCGGTATACTGCCGTGCTGGATGCAAAGCTAGAAGAACTCATGGGCCGCAAAAAGCTAAACAGGACTGACCCTTTGAGGTTCCTTTGATTTGCAAGCGGCTTGTTTGGTGTTGTTGGCCGAGCCAGTACATATCACCTGTATGCCAACACCACATAGGCGGCAAAGTACAATGTTACGAGCAATGTAGAAGTATTCTATTGTATTATCGGCTCTTAATTATTTGACTGCCAGTACATTACAAATGCATTTCATCTTCACCAAACCCCTTAGGGTGGGAGACTCCCAGAAGTTCTACAGGCCCAAACAGTGCTTTGGGTGGCTTTGAATGACCTTGGCGGGCTTTGGCAGGCTCCAGGACCCATATTTGATAGAAACAGGCCCTGGGAGGCCCGGATTTGATAGAAATAGAAGGTCTTTCCGCGAATGTCGGCCCCAGGGGCCTACATGGCTATGTCGGCCCCTGGGGCCGACATTGGCATGTAGGCAAATAGGGCCGACGGGGAGCGCCGGGGTTTCGCAGGCAGGAAGTTCAGCTGATGTCCTCACGGAGCACTGGAACGATTGTGAAATGCAGTTGGTTCTGAGCGAAGAACGAGAAGGAGCGTCTACTGCAGTGGTGCGCCCATCAGTGCCGTCCAGCCCTTTGGTGCGGAAGACCGAGGTTGCCTACACGGATGGTGTTGAGAGCATCCTCGAAAACCTCGCTTCGCCCTTGTCTGTGGTCTACACAGTGAACCCGCGGGAAGTAGTTCCAGTGTTCGAACGATGGACGCCTTCATTGATGAAGGAGGTGGCGTCACTTGAGCATGCGGTTGACAAAGTGATGTCGGATGATCCGAGTGTTCGTGAAGATTTGGCCTCAGGTAGAGCACAGCTTATTCCAATGAAAGTTGTGTACACCGTAAAACCCCCGGATCCACCTGCTGATGGAGGACATCCTGAAGAGAACTTCAAGCGGAAAGCTAGGATTGTGATCTGCGGGAACATGGCATCGCACCAAGCGGGCGAGGTCTACGCCAGCACGGCGCCAGCAGAGATTGTGAGGGCAGCCATAGCCCTAGCAAGGTTCTTTAACTGGAACTTGGGGCTGATCGACATTGTGGCGGCGTTCCTTCAGACTCCGTTTAGCGCACTCGATGGGGCACCTTTGGTTTATGGGGTTCCACCTAAAGTACTTGTTCGTGCCGGCATTTGTCGTCCCGGGGAGCTGTGGAGATTGACACATGCAGTCTATGGTCTTCAAGAAAGCCCAAGACTTTGGGGCTCGTATCGGGACATGAGGTTGGCGCAAGTGCAGTTAGTTGTCGATGGAAAGAGGATCACCCTCTTGCAAGGACGTGTGGAGCCATCATGGTGGTCTATCATGCAAGAGGGCTCTGTGTTGATTGGGATCTTGGTAGTCTATGTCGACGATTTGCTGTTGTGTGCGAGGACCGAGGTCATCAAGGAGCTAGCGGCCGCGATTCAGTTTATGTGGAGGACCAGTCCGTTGCAGCTTGTGTCAGAGGGCGAGATAAGGTTCTTGGGGATCGAGATTTCGCGTACTACCCAGGGCTTTGCTTTGTCTCAGAAGTCCTATCTGGAAGAGCTGTTGCGGTTGCACGAGGTTCCTACGAGAAAGCGAGACTTAGTGCCCGTCGGCAAGGAGTCGGTGAGCTTTACAGCTGGCGAAGATGAGGCCCCGCAGGACGAGGCAGAAGTTCGGGCGGCTCAGCAGATTGCGGGTGAGCTCCTTTGGATCAGCCAGAGAACGCGCCCGGATGTGGCGTTTGTGTGCTCAGTGATTGGATCGCTTGCTACCAGGGCTCCACGGAGGGCGCTAGAGATCGGGTTGAAAACGTTGGCGTACCTTCAGAGAACGTCCGATAGGAGACTGCTGTTTGAGGGAAACTCTCGCTATTTGGCCGGCTTTGTGGATGCGTCGTTTGCCCCGGATGCCAACAGGTCCCACACAGGATGGATCATCCAGCTTGCTGGAAATGTGATTGCATGGCGTTCTTCAAGGCAATCGTGCGTAAGCTTGAGCACGGCCGAAGCAGAGCTTGAGGCAGCCGTGGAAGGTTTGGTTGCCATCCAAGGGATCCAGGCGGTCTTGCAGGACATTGGCGCTGGAGTGTTTGCTATGCAGATGCATTCAGACAGCACTTCGGCCTTGGCAATTGCGCATGGGTCCTGCAGCTGGCGTACCAGACATCTTCGTTTGAAAAGCGCCTGGATCAGTGAGCTCATTGCCAAGAACCTCGTTGAGTTCAATCACTGTCATGGTGAAGTTCAACCTGCAGATATGCTAACAAAGCCTTTGTCTTCGGCACGAATCAAGTCGTTGAGTTGCTTGATTGGACTGCTGGATGAAATGGAGTCGTTGTGTACGGTGTCCTCACTTCAGGAGGAGCCAGAGAGCAGAAGCCAAAGCAGCAGCAGCGGCAGCCCAGCAGCACACGCCCTAAGCCCGATCCCTAAGGTTCTAATTGCTTTGTTGGTGCTGGCGCAAGCGGTATCTGGAGAGCGAGTTCATGAAGATCATGGGGTTGTGGTTTATGGAAGTGGAGTGTCTGTAGACTACGGGCTGGTGACGTGGCTTCTGTTCTGGTGCATTGTGCTGGTTGGTGTTTTATCCTGGGAAGCTCTGAAGTGGGTTGTGTGGATGATCTATGACAGGGCGGCGCCGGGCTCCACCCAACGGCGCTTGAGAAGGCTTCAGAGGTTGCGTGATGCAACGGCAGAGGCTATCCACCGTGAAGTGAGTGCCCGGGTCGGTTCCCGTGCGGAGCAGAGAGCCAGAGATTCTCGCGAAAGGCCCAGAGATCAACTACCTGATCCACCGCGGGAGCACAGAGATCCTCACGCTGAAGAGCGCATGAACCTACTTCGGCGACTGGCGCAGGGAGTAAAGGAGACCAAGGAGGTCGCGATTCAGACTACGGCCTTCACACCTGTGCACGGTCCGTCTACGAGGGTTATATTGAGGTATGTACATGAGCCACCGGAAGCTACCTACGTCGTGCCCGACAATGACTGTTTCCATGTTTATGATGACTGCCATGCTTTTAGACACAGAGGTACTCTGCAGAAGGTTGAGCGAAGGAGGCTCTGCCGTTATTGCAGCAATCGTGCCGCTGAAGATCCGGATAAAACGCCGGATTACGGGCGGGACCTTGAAAGAGCCCGTGAATACGAGAGGGTATTCAACACCACCCTCACGACGTCTGGACAGAGCTCTCGGATGGCCGAAGCCTAACGGCTAGGCCAAGGAGGAGTGATGAAATACGTCGGCATGTGCAGTTGTCTGAGAAGGGGCTTGGCAAGTGCTATGCTCCGGAATGCTTTTGGGCCCTGTAGGGAAGGCTACGGGGAAAGCCCTTGAGTCGTGTAAAGAAGTCCTGCATACTACGATAGGTCAAGGCCATTCGAGCAGGCATGTACTGAAGTAGCTTAGCATGATAGATCAACTTTTGTACACCCTCAGATCTCATGCAAAGCTTTCGAGACAAGCAGCTTGCGACTTTGTTGTTTGGTCGAAAAACAGTTAGCATTGCGAAGTCGGGGTAGCCATGGATGGTCCTTTGACATCAGCGGCTGTAAAACCTGACTTTCACTAATTATAACCCTAGTTACTAAGTCCCATGATCCTTTAAGTAATGATGTCGGTAGTGTCAAGGGCGCCTTTCTGAAGAACACACAAAAGATTCCAGGACACCGTGTTCTAGAACTATACTAACTACACATGAATGGTCTCCCGCCGTCCCCGGCATGTCACGGAGCCACGAGAGCCCACAGCCGCACCAAAAACCAATGACTAGTCCCTAAACTTAAACGCTGGACCCCAAGTCTTACATCCTACTGTTCATGGACAAAATCCTGCATGACCCTAAGGACCCTAAACTATGGGAATTATGGTATATTCCTTAGTATGGGTCATTCAGGATTTATATCATCAACCGTAGTACCCAGACCGCTTCTACGAAGCTCCAACCCTGCGGATTGAGAGCTTTTCTACCCCACGCGATTGCAAGACATCTAAATCAAGCAGCAAGCACAAGTAGTTGTAGTCGTCGTTGTTGTCGCCGTAGTAGTAGTAGTAGTCGTCGTCGTGGTCGTCGAAGTAGTAGTAGTCGTCGTCGTTGTAGTAGTCGTGATAGCAGTGGCAGTGGTACGGCTACTACCACTAGCTCCGAGATCCGAATCCTCAGTACAAAGCTTGAACCTACAACCCTACATCTCTTAGCCGCAGACCCTCAGGGTTGAAGTACCAATATAGTCGGTGCTTGGGCTCCGACGGTATATACTATGGTATTCCTTGGACTCTTTGGGAAATCTCCGAAAACCTAAACCATTGAGTGCGAGTCTTGTGCAGCGTGTGCGCGTTCCTTGAACCTACGACCCTGCTTCAACGACATTAGTTGGGATCAGGCCGCCGAGACTGGAAGAGCCGGCATAGGAGCATCGGAGGCTCTGCCGGCGGGGTGTGAGGCCCAAGAAGTGTTTGAACCTTCCTCTGTGTTCTGCCAAAGGGGACTTGGGGCTTGGGGCCAAGGTTTCAACGGAGTTTGGGGTGTAGGGTGCCTGGGGTTTGGCGAAGGGTTTGGATTTCAGGAGTTGGTTTCGGGCTGATGGTCTAGGGCTGCGGGTCCAGTTCAAGTTCTGCTTTAAACTTTTGCCACCTGAAGTGATGATGAGGCGGCCGGAGTGCATATGCCACCCGCACGTGTGTGGTGGAGGACAAGGAAATGTTCAGGTGCTATGGTAATGCGAAAGTACATATACGTACGTGCATACACATGTACATATATATATATATATACACATACTTGCTTAAACTATATATATATATATATGTTTGTTTATTTATTTACTTATTTATTTACTTATCTATATATATATATATCTATATATATGGGGAGCAATGGAGAATATGTGGTATATTCTTGTGCTATTGACGTAGAGATTTCGAAACCGAGACGGGCGCACAGCTTGGGTTGCAGTATGGATTTCTTCCAGCTAGAGGCAACTTGCCCTTGAATCCTTGAGGCCCGCAGACTTCAAGATCCCTCGACTAAGGAATATACCTTAAATCATGGTAATTAGGATCCCTAATTGATTTAAGGAGTTTTCCTTAATGAATTAAGGGGTATTGGAGTCTCCTGAGGCAGCGGAAACCCTAAACCCTAAACCCCCTAAAACAATAAAATCCTGAAAGGCTCGAGGCAGGCGATTTTGTTTCCGGAGTTTCTCCTTCCGCGCAGCCTGCCATGGCCGTGCACAGCAACCGATCGGCTTATGGCCCGTTCGATGATGGGGAACTCGTGGGACAAAAGCGCACCGATAGCACCGCAGAGGATGCGGAGGACTGACAGCTTGAGGCATACTATAGGGGCCATAATAATTACCAATACCATGTTGGTTGGTTCCTTAACTATCAGTATAGTATAATAGGCCCCAAAATTATCATGGCCCCTAATTAGTTCAGTGTTGAAACTTTGCATTGTTCCGTCCTCGCGTGCAGGTGTACGTCGTGTTTACTATCTTTGAGTATTGGTTCTTTGGTATCTGTCGGTGTCCCCGCGATTTATGCAGGAGCCAGCTATGTCTGCCGTGAAGTCCTGGAACAGCTCATGCACCGAAAAGAGCTGCGCAGAGCAGCACTCCATGTTGCCGCTTCCTTAGTGCTCTGAGTTGCGGCAAGTAAACCAACCCTGAGACCTCGATATAGATGCCCCTAAACCCTAACCCCCCCAAACCCTAAATCTAGATAATCTTCAAACCCTTATATATATTCCTAAACCCAAAACCTCAAACCCTGCCCCTTAAGGAGCACTAAGGTCGCTTCGGGGAGAGGAATCCCGGTGGATGATCCCGCGACAGGAACTCCAGCTTCAGAAGGAGCTCAGCCGGACGCTGAAGAGCACCCTTTACCGTGCACCTAAGCCTCCGACTAATACAGGTTTAGGGTTTAGGGCTTTAGGGTTTTAGGGTTTAAGGCTTTGGTAGTACCCTTTTGTTCAAAGGCCCGAAGTAATTAAGCATATGGTATATACTTTAGGGTACGAAGTACCTACTAGAATGGTACTTGGGCCCCTTGGGGTCCCTCCTTTTAAGTTTGGGTTGCCCTGATTTTTAACGCTGAAGGCTACAGGGGCTTCCCAGAGAGCCCGATACCCCTTAAGTAAGGAACATAGCTCAAATCATAATATGATCCCCCTTGTGGCTTCAGGCATGTTCCTTAGTTAAGGGGTATTGCAGCCTCCTAAACCCTATAGATCCCTTAAAGGATCCCTTAATTGAAGGAACCCTAGGGAGTACTCTGCAGCCTAGGCAAGCTGGCATGGGACGGAGGTGGTGGTGAAGTGCGCGGGTCTGCACGATGCCCATGCAGCCCTGGCCATGTCGAATACTGGCGCTCTTAAGTCCGGATCCATCCCAGAGGCCTTAGTTTAGGGGCCTTAGTTACCTAGACTATTTTTGGGGGGCTCCGTATGACAATTAGTCTAATGGGCTTAATACCCTGGGCATTAAAATAGCCCAAAAGATTGTATGGTATGGTCTTCGGGCCTTAAATAGATGCCTGGGGATATCGTAGAGGCCTTAGTTACCTAGACTATTGTTGGGGCTCCTCATTACAATTAAAGAAATATGGGCCCCAATACCCTATGATTCTGATTTGTTAGGGTCCCTACAAGTAAGCCCGGATCAATGCCAGAGGAGACGGAAACCATGGAGATCGCGGCTGAGCTGCTCCACGAGATTGACATTCTGTCATCCATGAGGCATCCCGACATGGTTATGTTCATCGGGGCCTGCTTGGACCCGGAGCTTCCTATCATGTGTGTGACGGAGTTTATGCCTGGTGGTGACCTAGAGACTTGGCTCTAATATAGGGTTAAGGGTTAGGGTTTAGGGTTTAGGGTGTGGTGACCTCGAGACTTGGCTCTAATATAGGGGCCGTAGTAAATAGACTAGGGTTTGGGGGATAAGGAAGCCCCAAAATAGTATTGTGATAATTTAGGCCCCTGTATTGCTTCTTTCTCCTTGTTGGGACCTAGTACAAACAGACGGCCGAACTGTTTCTGTTTGAGTCCTAGCTCAGGAGAGCTACTATGCTTCACAGAGGCAGAAGCACGACAGTGCCGTTTGGAGTCCGCGGCTAAGCACGGTCCCTAGGATGCCCATTAGTACCCTTATTCCCTTTTTGTAGTCCTAGGTTCCCTATAAAGTTATAAGTTACCCAATACTAAGAAGGGAGCCCTAATTTATTCCTAGGTTACTGGGCATTGTAGCTATAAGTACAACAAGGAACCCCCCCAAAACAGTATTGGCAATGATTTAGGCTCCTATATTGTAGAACGCTACTAGTGTTGTGGATATAAATCCTGCATGACCTTAAGGACCCTAAACGACGGGAATTATAGCATGTTCCTTATTGCGGGTAATGCAGGATTTGTATCATCAACCGTATAGATCCCTTATGGGCATCCTAGGTCCTGGACTGGGGCTCGGCCGTAGCCAGAGCGCTCGTCTTTCTGCATTCCCGGAAGATGGTACACCGGGATCTGAAACCTATGCACCGTGATCTGATTTTTAGGGTTTAGGGTTTAGAGTTCAGGGTTTAGGGATTAGGGTTTAGGGTTCAGGGTTTAGGGTTTAGGGATTAGGGTTTAGGGTTCAGGGTTTAGGGTTCAGTGTTTAGGGTTCAGGGTTTAGGGTTCAGGGTTTAGGGTTCAGTGTTTAGGGTTTGGGGTTTTCAGGGTTTAGGGTTCAGTGTTTAGGGTTTGGGGTTTTCAGGGTTCAAGGTTTCGGGTTTGGGGTTTAGGGTTTCTGTAGGGTTCAGGGTCTAGGCAGGCCTTGGGGATGTTTTATGTTTTCCGTCATCAGGCCCAGGGGGATCTTATCTACCAAGATTTTTGTACAGGGCCAACCTGCAGTTTAAGGTTGTGATGCTTCGCTTCCTAAGTGTTTCATAACCATCGACGACCTTGCATTGAGGCCCTGAAGCTTCAAAAGCGAAACCCCTAGGAACGGCGCTGAACAAATCACAGTCCCCGATAGCCCAAAAGGAATCGCACAACGCCTTTCATCAAACAGAAACAAGAGGGATCACACACACAAACATACATACATGCATGTATGTATGCATACATGCATACATATGTGTATACACACAAAAATTCAACAGATTCCAGCGGCCCAGGAACCTGTTGTTGAGCAAGCACCTTGAGGTCAAGGTCTCAGACTTCGGCATCAGCAGAATGCTCTCTCTCAGCGATGCTTACAGCATGACAGGCGCTGCTGGTCCACATGCCCAAACAGGGTGCCTTTAAGGGTTCTATAAGGGTTTATATACCATTGTAGTACACGCTTTCGCCTATGAGTCGTCGCCACTTAGGACACCACAGGTCCGACTTCTCAAAAGCCCTAGACTAGAATAGTGTAAAGTATACCAGACTCGATAGACTGCGTATATGTGTATATATGTCTGTGTATACATAATATAGATATATATATATATATAGATACCGAGATATCAGATACGGGTTGCAATACCAGGGCAAGAATCCTCCTACTTCGCAGGGCTCTATATTCAGGTCCCCTGTTGCCTGAAATTTCAGAGTTGCGACAGCCCCTTGAACTTTCGGAACCCTAGAACCTGGGGCAGCTGGAGCCTGAACCATCCCAAGCCAAAAGACCCAGCTGAACGTTGAAACTTGCATGACCCAAAGGGTCCAACTAATAGTGTAGTATATACCTTGGGGGCCCCAATACCTACTAAGTACCTACTAGAAGCTTGGGGTAAACTCGAAACGAGCCCTGAGGTGGCGTTGGGAGCTGGCGGTACATGGCTCCAGAGGTGGTAAGGCATCAGGCCTATGATGAGAAGGCTCGGCTCTTGCTAATTGAGATTAAGTGAGTAGCAAATGGCAATCTAAACCACTTACCACAGCAGGTACGCAAACATACAAATATGTGTAATATGTGTATACATACACATACATAAAGATTTGCTTATACATCTATCTATCTATCTATATATATATATGTATATATATATATATCCACACACACACACACAGGTACACACAATGCACACTACACTGTGGGTCCACATACCTTTCCAGTATATAGTTTGGCTTACAAGGAGTCCCTGTGTAGGTACTTCAGGGCCAATGTGTCTACTAAATACTAATTGCGTACATGTACCCTTAGAATCAGGGTAAATGTAGACAGCAGTGTTTCAGTCAACGTTCGTCAATCCAGACGTTAACTTGCACAAAAGTCATTGTCGCCGACAAGAATTCAGAAGGTCGACATCTACGCCCTGGGATTGATCCTTTACTTTATGAGCCCCTTGGTGGCAGCTGAGAAGAGAACCCTAAACCTAGGACCTAGGATGCCCAGTACGTAGTATTGTACCCTTATTCCCTTTTTGTAGTCCTAGGATCCTTACTGGTACCCAATACCAAGAAGGGAACCCCTTTTATTCCGGGTGACTGGGCATCCTAAAAACCCTAAACCCTAAGCCTGAGTTGTAGGCTTGTAGGATTTAGGGTCGTAGGGTTTTTGTTTTAGTTCGGCTCGAGGCTGTAGGGCCCCTCAGTTCCGGAAAGGCCTGATCATGTGGGAGTGTCCGAAAATTAGGGGGACCTTGTTTTCGGCTCCTTATAATAGGGATCCTAGTATTAAGGGTACTATATTAGGGTCCCCTATTTTCGGAAACTCCCATGTAGTTCCCCGTTTGTTTGTGAACTCGCTTGTGGCAGAGGAATCGAAAAGCTGTTTCGCACAAGGTTTTCTGCGAGGGCTGGTTGGGTTTATGTCTGTTCATCCAAGATCCTGTCTGTATGTTGCGCCTTTCAGAGCAAGATCGGCTTTACGGTTCAGGGTTCAAGGGTCGATGTACCCGTATAGTGGCCACTGCGGCCTTAATGTACCTAGAAAGGCACACTAAAGTGGCAAAGCCTGGAAGACCGAAGAATGTATCTCCGTGACCCAAAGCATGTGGGAGTTTCCGAAAATAGGGGGCCCTAATATAGTACCCTAAATAGTAGGATCCTTATTATAAGGACCCCAAAGTAAGGTACCCACAAGTTTGACAACTACCCATGTATCTCCGTGATTCCCAAGCAGCCCGAAAGCCCTTAGAGCCTGAAAGCCTTAGTTCAGGAATCAGGGTTCCCTTCTCTTCCCGGACCCTGCAAGGGCCCTTTGATAGAGCCCTTATGGTCCTTAATCGTGGGTACTTGAAGGCTCATGGGACTCAGTAAGTAACGTTATAAGTAGGTTATAATTAGGGTAACCCCACTTAGGGGATTCATAACCCCAATTATAACCTACTTACTAAGTCCCATGATCCTTTAAGTATTTGGGGTATATTGGAGGTCAGTTGGCGGGTCTGGGTTGAACACTGCACCCCAAACCCTCCTAGAACCCATCAGGGTGTCCTGAAACGGTTGATGATATAAATCCTGCATTACCCATAATAAGGAATATACCATAACTGCCATAACTTAGGGCCCTTAAGGTAATGCAGGATTTATATCATCCACCGAAGGACCTCAAAATCTCAAAACCCCGTGAACCGAGACTCTGGCTGTGCGCCCTTCCACCAGCTCGGGCGTGACCCTGAGCGGATTCTCATTGAGTTTCAAGCAGGTAAGGACGCTTCGGCTGCACAGGTTCGTCTCTGTTGAGGCTTCCTTGGGTTTAGAGTTTTTCCGGGTTTAGGGTTACAGGGTTTAGGGTTATAGGATATAGTGTTTAGGATTGAGTTTAGGTTGGGTTTCCGAGTTCCTACATTACAAAACAAAGTAGGTTTCGGTAACTTACGGTTAAAGATATTTGTCAACCCAGACGATCTCCCTAAACCCTAAACCTCAAGCTCCTAAACCTCAAACCCCTCAACCCTAAACCTCAAGCCCTCATTAAACCTTAAAGCTCAAACCCCTAAACCCTGAACCTCAAGCCCTTATCAAACCTTGACCCTCAAACCCCTAAGCCCTAAACCTCAAGCCCTAAATCCCGAAGCGAACGATCTCCCCGCTGAAGGCTGTGAGTCAGCCGTCGGTCGATGCGTAAGCGTTCGTTGAGGGGTTTAGGATTCAGGGGTTTAGGGTTTAGGATTCAGGGGTTTAGGGTGTACCGGTGTTCGGGGTTCAAGGGGTTTAGGGCTTAGGGGTTTAGGGTGATCTGAGATTGCAGCTGGAAACGGTGACCCGAGACTCCTTGAAGCGCTAGCTTGCCCACACCGCCACGACCACCACCTCTACAGCACACCTGCTTCTGCTGCTGCAGCTACTCCTTCTTTACCTACTTCGTTTCCGCTGCTTCTACCACGATTGCGACATCGACCGCCAACTGTTGCAACCGTTTCCGGGCACCACGGTGAGCGCTACGGTATACTGATATAATGATGCTATAATGTCGTCATTGCAAGTGTATCACCGTGATCGCAAATATCATGTTGGTGGCGGATGATGCAGGACGAGGCCATCCTCATCGTTCTCATCGTTACGATTTTGGTAATCATCACTATCCCCACTGCTCTAGGCAGAAGTTTCTGGGATTGCTCGTCGGTTGAAACCGTGGTGTTGGGCACGTTCGTCTCGTTTTAATGAGCATGGTGCTCACATAGTATTACTGCGGGTAGAACCCGAAACCATATCATTTCGGTGACAACTCCATCAAAGGAGCCTCGACCGGTGGTCGCTGATTGCAGCTTGCGATTGCGCCCACTCGTGGCATCCGCATGGCATGTTGACCCAGGCCTGATATAAAGCCACACTACCAAGAGGGTCATACCCTACCCCTTTTTTTAGGTACCTAGTTTTATATGGTTAGGTTCTCTTATATAGAAAAGTAGGTACCTTAAAAAAAGGGGTAGGGTATGACCCTCTAGGTAAGGATCAATGTTCCTGTGTAGTGTTGGCCATAGTCCCAATGAAGATACTTCAGGCCAAATCATTGTACATGGACCTTTAGGGTAGGGGATGACGGTCAACGGTTAGGGTTCGTAGGATGTAAGGGTTGCGCAGTGGTTCGAGGTTTCACTTGGGTACACAGATCTTAGATGTGACCTTTGTTTGCCCATGTGATCCAGTTCTGATCCCTGTGCGGCAATAAAATCTCTATCATAGTTGTGTAACATTTTACATGCTTATGGGTACTTATAATTAAACCAAATAAGGAATATACATGTACATGTTTAAAATAATCCCGACCATGAACTAGAACTGCAGTCCAGAATGCTTGTCGGTAAACCCTGATGCCCTTCAATCATAGGGACCCTTAGGGGGGCAGGGGGGAGCGGGGTAGGGGACTGTACTTCCCCAAAAAATAAGCCTGATTAAGTCCATGTTATGGGCATTATTAAGGCATAAGGTTCCCTATGAGTCTAGTTTCTCTGCAGGATGTTGCCAGGTTTCCTCGGGTGTTGATTTCGACGCTCATTCCTTCAGGGGCAGCGCAGTTTCTTCAGTTTTGGCTTTGAGGAATCTGGTTAGTTTGAGTTTACTTTCTGAAGTTTTTTCTATCTTACACTTTGCCAGGTCTTCTGCATCTGCCGCTGCTGACCTGCTGCAGCTACTACAACATCAATGCAAAACTACATCGGGGTTGTGGGCCGAGTTTAGGGTTTTCGGTGTAGGCATTTACAACGCCAACTGTCATGAATTTCAATTCCAGTATGTCTTCGACCGCTGCCAGTTATGTTTCTCTTCTGTCCTTCTTCGCGTTCCAGCGATCAGCCGATCTTGCTTATGCTGGAACTTAGGGGTCCTTTTAAGATCTTTGTTTTATGAGGGTGCCGTACTACTTTGGGGACCTAAACAGGGACACTCATTTGGTGAGTTACCCTTATCCTGGTAGGATTGCAGGTGACAAAGAGCTGCGGGCTCTCGGCTGTCCCGGAAGATGTCGAAGCCATATAGACCTTGACACCGAAGCGTGATGTTCCCAGAGAGCCCATATATGTCCATAGAAGCAACTACTTTAAGTATGGTGTGCTTCTCTTGATTTGATGGAAGGCCTACATGCATCAATTAGGGGTGTGGGGCTCTGTCTTGTCGCTTCGATCTTTGCAATCGTCGTAAGCTTCTCGGGTGCAGGCCGTAGTCTTTGAACACGCAGCTCCCCGAGCCATGAACCACCGTTTCAGGTTTTAATTTGCTAATGGGACCAGTCCTGACTGTTTGTTTAAAGACTTACAGTTTGGCCACGACAGCGTTCGGAATCCGAACCTGGCAGCCGAAGACCTTAGGGTTTAGGGTTTAGGGTTTTAGGGTTTTAGGGTTTAGGGTTTAGGGTTTTAGGGTTTTAGGGTTTTAGGGTTTTAGGGTTTAGGGTTTAGGGTTTTGGGTTTAGACCTCTAGATGCCGAAACTCACAGGCCAGCGCCCCTCCGCAGAGCACATCCTCGAGTGGCTCGGGCGAGTATCACAGCAAACATCTTGCGGACCCTGCCGACAGATGTGATTTCGGCGCAAGCCCCTCTAAGCCCAGTTCCTCATGTGTTGCGTTACTGTTTATGTGGAACCCGATATGGTCCACTAGGGTATTTATTACATATGTATCTCAAAAATTACACGCATACATAGAAATCAATCGTATGGGCAACTGGGCTTCTTGAAGTCTCCCAGTCCGAGCGCACTTCTGGAGAGATGGTGTCAGGGCCCGGGAGCACAGGCCTAAAAAATTACCTATATTATTCCCTAGGTAGTATAATGGGCCCCCAAACCCTATTCTAATAATTAAGGCCCCAATTCAATACTATGAAACTTCTTGACTTGGCGAATCCTCGGCAAGTCCGTGGATGGCATTCGCGAACTCATAGGGTCAAAGGTAGAAGAGATTGGGTTTTGGGCTTACCTATTCCCGGAATAACTTGCCTTTTAAGGATTCATTTCAGGAAACCATAATAAGGAACCCTATAAAGGTAGGGTTTTCAGAGTTAAGGTAGGGTTTGTATAGGGTAGATTAAACTGGATATTGGAGTCAGCAGGGTTATCTTAAGATGTTTTGCTATGTGTTCAGCAGCAATGCCGCACCACGGTACTTTGACAACTTTTGACCCACTGTATAGTGTTCGACCATATACGGTCGATCAATGGCTGCCTCGCACATCCAATACTTTTCAATTCTTAGGGCGTAGAACGAGACCAGTTTTGCATGCAGTTTTCTACGCCAGGTGCAGGGTGGGTTGAGCTTTCAGGGAAGTGCTGACCGAGGCATACCTCGCGTCTTGAAAGAGGCAGGTCACTAGTGCATGGAAGCAGAAGGCTTGCTTTTCGACTGCCAAATTTTAGATGAGGCTGTTTTAACCCAAAGGGTCCAAGTGACCATATAGTATATACATTGGAAATTAAATACCTACTATTTTTATATTTGGATTTGGGTAAGTCGTGGCTCCGTTAGCCTCGACATGGTCCATAGCATGGGAAGTTCAACGTCTCGTCGGCTCAGCAAAGCCTCAGAATCCCACTTACCTATCTGAGATGGCTAGTTTCCCGTTATATCCAAAGGAGAGTATCATTCATATCATTCATATACTCTACACCTACGTCCAAGCCTGAAACACAGAACCCTAAACTCAAACTCCAACAGGTAGCTGGGATTCTATTGAAATCTTGATGCGTTCGAACAGCACGACGTCAAGCGCTTACGAGTCTGAGCTGTGTGATGTCACTCCGCTGCCGGTGTGCATGGAAGATACTTCAGCATTCCCGGCGGTGCTTGCGACGATTGACTCCCATGGAAAATCCACGGAGTAAGAGCGAAACAGGCTTGCGCTGTACCTTACCTGATGTATATACCTCGGGTATTGAAACCCGATTCGTTTGCAGTTCTGACCCTATAGTGCTTGATGATGCTGGCAAGGGCCCCAAGCGAACAGTGCTTCCCCTCACACCAAAAACTCCTGTAGCAGCACTGCAGTCATACCCAAGAACGTTTTTTCTGCCGCGGTGTCCTGCCGTCATTTCATTTCAATATCATAGGCCAGGTTGTCGACCATGTGCCTCTCTTTGCTGGCTCGTTTAGGCTCCCTATACATTCTACAAAGGTACTAGGTGAGTATCTCTATCACCACCGACAAGCAGGTAGAAGGCAGCAAAAACCCTCAAAAACAACTGTCTTTACCACTGTCATGTTGTTCTTTACAGGTTCCTTATCATAACTGGCTCTCAACCACTCGCAAAACCGCAGTCCAGTTATGCAGGGCCCTACCCCAAAGGGTCCTATGTACCGATATAGAATGTAGGGTTCACATATCAGGAATTACTATTATGACTTAGGGAAGTATCCCCCATAACAGTACATAGGACCCTTTGCGTACATAATGCTGAGGCCATTGCAGTAGCGGAGCGGACTGTGGCTGAGAGGCTGTGCCGCCCTCACTTTGTGGTCTTGTTTAGGGTGTTGGGGGTTCAGAGTTTGGATGATTTAGGTTTTGGAATTTACGGTAACTAGGGGTGCCGGATTTGGTTGCGTTTATTTGGGAGGGCTTTCAGGTTCGTTTTTGGGGCTTGGGCTGCAGGTTTCAGAGCGCAGGGTTTCGAGCGAGCGAGCGAGCAAGTGAGCGAGCGCATGCACCTCTTTTACAGAGATTGCACTTCAGGAAGATGTACTAAGCGCTGATGACCGGGTAGGTTTGACTCGGATCCCCCCAGAGAGCCCAATACCCCTTAATTAAGGAATATGGCTTAAATCATAATATGAAGCCCTATATAGTTTAAGCCATATTCCTTAATTAAGGGGTATTGGGCTTTCTGGGCCTGAGCTGGACCCAGCATCAACATGGCCTGCTGGAAAGCCTGTATCCCGGTCCACCAAGCTGCATCAGATGTATTTGTCCCCTAAACCTAAAACCCTAAACCCGACACCTAAAACCCAAAACCCTAAACCCCAAACCCTAAACCCTAAACCGAATCTGTCCCGCTTCAACGATGACTTCATAGGGACCCTTGGGGGGTAGGGGGGAGGGGGGTAGGAGACTATACGTCCCTAAATATAAATATAGGCCTTATTAAGTCCTTATTAGAGGTGTCAAGGCCCCTTACCCCCCTCCCCCTCCCCTACTTGGAAGGGCAGGGGACTTAGTAAGCATGGTTATAAGTACCTTAATTGGGGTTATATGTAGTTATAAGTATAGTTACCCTAATTATAACCCTAGTTACTAAGTCCCATGCTCCTTTAAGTAAGGGTCCTTATGATGACTCCGCTCTTGGAGAGCGCACAACCTTGCACCTTTCCTGAGCTGAGGCAAGAAATGTCAGCGCGGGATTTGCGGCATGGGGCTTACCTTGCGGGTGTAGTTCAGGAGGGTTTTGGGGGTCCGGGTCGCCTTGTAGGCTTTGCCCATAGCTTGTGATGGCGAGATCACACGACAAAGCAGGGCCAGATCTGTTAACGGTAGCCAAGATTCACAAGTCTTGCGCCGGTAGCCAGTAGTCTCGTGCAGGACTAAGGGCCTAAGGGGATACTAGAGCAACCAAGGGAACCCACAAGAGGTGAACCCAGTGTTCAGGTTCCTATCCCCGTCTTCAAGGTGTATTGGTTACTCTAGGGAGGGTTAAGGGTTAAGGGATTCGGAAGACCATGGCACACCCTTCACCGTCATCCTTCGCCACCAAGCTCAAATGGCTAGCTAGACTAGACGGCAGAACCCCACGAGCAAAAACCAGGACACAACAACAGACGGCAACAAAATCAACGTACATGGGTCTTGCTTGGTGTGGCCTTTTCTAAGGATTTCGGAGGTTTAGTGATCATGTTCGATTGCTCAGGGTTTAGGGTAGGATCGGTGTTGTGAGGATCCCCTTGATAAAGTATCCGAAATTTTGACCTCTCCCAGCGAAACAGACCCATATTACTGTACTCCCGACCCGAACACGGCCCGGTCTTAGGATTTAGGGGTTTAGGACTTTTCAAACTCGCGTGCAGCAAGACATAATGTTATATAACATGAAATAGAAGATTTTACAATACAGTATACAGGGTTTGAGGGTTTCGGCTCCTTTATCGAGGGACTTCTGGCTTTACGGTGTGGGGCTCAGTGTGTTTGATCATGCGCCGGACTATGCACAGAGCCAGAGAGCCCAATACCCCTTAATTAAGGAATATACCTTAAACTATAAGGGGGTTCATGTTATGATTTGAGCTATCCTTAATTAAGGGGCATTGGGCTCTCTGGGGCAGCCTCTACCCCGAATCTCCAAACAGAAAGCTTTTGACTATTCGAAGGCCGAGGCTGCGACACCATTCCTTGCGACCTAAATCCTAAACCCTGAACCCCAACGGTCCAAGTACCTAATAATCATCTACTCCCCCAAATCCTAACCTACATAACTACTATCCTATAGCCGAGTGCCTAGTTATTGGGTCCTTTGGACCCTTGGTGGAACCCTAAGCCCTAAACTAAACCCTGAGCCCTAAACTCCAAGGGTAAAAGGAGGGACCCTCAATAAGGACCCCTAGGTATATACCCTTAATATAGCCATTATATACCCATTATATAGCCCATTGTAGGGTAGGGGTCCCCGTTAAGGGTCCCTCCCAACCCCATCGCCAGGCGAGAGCTGCAGCTGCGAGGGTTGGATACAGACACGAGCCCGGACAAGTTCCTCGCTGCAACGAGACAGGGCTGGTTCAGGGCTGGTAAGGTTTAGGCGTTTAAGGTTTAGGGTTCAGGAGTTGAGGTTGGGGTTTAGGGTTCAGAGTTTAGGGTTCAGGGTTTAGAATCAAGGGCTCATAAGGGTTAGGGTTTAGGAGTTTAGGGTTTAGGGCTCATAGGGTCTAGGGTTCAGCGTTTACGAGTTCAGCGTGTGGGGCTCGCAGGGCTTAGGGTTCATCGGGCTTAGGAGTTAAGGAGTTAAGGGTCCAGGGTTTAGTGGGTTTCAAGATCCTTGAGGTTGTGGGTTTGCGGATGACATAGCAAAGGGCTCAGGGGCTTTGGTCTACATGGAGCCGGTTGATGATGTAAATCTTGCATTACCCAGAGTAAAGAATATACCATGATTCCCATAGTCTAGGGTCCTTATAAGGTACTGCAAGATTTTTATCATCAACGGAGCTCGAGGCGCCCTTGACCAGAAGCCGCAGTAGCAGTACCAGCCGCGCTGTCAGATCAGAACTGGCAGGAGTCAGTCTTACATGGGGGTTTCCGAAATTTAGGGGTAGCTTATTTTGGGGGGTCCTTTGAATAAGGTCCCTACTATTTAGGGTACTATATGAGGGTCCCTTATTTTCGGAAAATCCCACATTTTCCGAGTACTAGAGTAAGTAACATTTCACCTGGTTGGGGTACTAGAACCCTTTGGTAATCCGTATATACTCCGGAAGGTTACCTGTAGTCTGCATTGTAGTTTCTTTTCTTGGGGGTTAACCAATTATATAGTAAGGATCCTATAATGTAACCCCAAAAGGAATTACAATTGGAGACAATAGGTAACCTCCTATATGGGAGTTTTTCGAAAACA